TAGGCAGCCTGAATTGGTGGCTGAGAGCTGACAGAGAACTGACACTCCTCAGAAGGGACATCTCCTGTCTGTTGGCATGAAATGGAGCCAAGATTGGGCTGCATGATCTTTGTGTCTTTCTACACAGAATCATAGCCTGCTGCTGCTGCCCTCCCCGTACAGCTGGGTGGTAGAGGCCTCCAGAGAGCATGGCCTTGCATGGGAGGGACAGAAACCCTAATGAACCCTCGCCTCCATCAGAGACCCCAGGTAACAGCTACAAACCACATGTGATAAATAGTTGTGTACATTCTGGTCCACAGCTGCGTCTTCTGTCCCTCAGGAGCAGGTGTCCCTGCGCTGGCACAGCGGACACTGCATGTACCTCCCACGTGTCCCCTGCCAGACGTGCATCAACTGCAGCCAGGATAAGCACTTTCATCTTAGGGCCTCTGCACACAGAGCTGTCACCTCGTGCTATCAGGTGCAATTTTGTTGTCAACTAGTGGAAGAAAAAGCTCATCTCCTCCTTTTTACTTCCCAGCAACAAGACAACTTCCCTCCTCGAGTAGCTGTCAGAAGTGTGAGCAGTGAAGCTGCTAAGTGCACAAAAACATTCTCCAGCATCTGGGTCTGAAAAGGTGTGCACTGCAGAGGGAGGCACAGGAGCAGCTAGGGCTCTTTGCATCTTTCACAGCACGGACAGGGCCTTGAACCCTTGCAGTCTCCAGGCAGATGAGAGCTCACCAAAAAGGGGAGGTGGGGATGGGAAGAGAAAGATCTACTTTGCTCTTGGTGGCTATTTCCAGCCATGCATTGGGATCTGCTCCCTGCTTCTAATGGCTTAGGTCTAGTTCAATTGGCCTTAGCCACTGGCTTTGGTTGTACTCAGTTCTGTTGCTGATTTTTATGCCCTGCAGCAGCCCCCTGGGCCATGCTTGCCCCTCTGCACTGTGCCCAGCACCTACGTGAGCTGCATGAAGCAGGGAGTATTTCCAGCCACGTGCCGTCTCTAGCTTTAACCGTGACTAATTAAGTGACTGGCTGACAGGCAGATGTATGAGAAATCAACGTGGCAGCTTTCTGCAGTAGTCTAAGAACACAGGCTGGAATGGACAGCCCCAGCAAATGTGCTTTCAAAACATCATCTCCAGAGCATGCATCCTTCGTGGTTATTCTCTTACTGCCATCACTGACCCATTGGGCTGGGAAGTGCTTAGTTACTGTGGGATTTGGACTTAGGACATCACAGCCCTCTGACCTGGATGTTGTCGTTATGAATCTGGAGTTGGAAGTCCTCCACTCTGTACATATAACTCTCCTGGGTGATTGCTGGAAGTTGAATGGGTGACAAGCTGCAAAAGAACATAATTGTCTCTGCTGATTCTGGAATAAGTGTCTGTGCCTGCAGCAAAAGTGTGCTACGTGCTTATCATCGAGCTAGCTGCTGACTGCTGTATCAGTTGGTCAGCTGTACTTACAGATGTTTATTTTCGAGTCCCACTGGGCACACCGTGACTGGCTACATGTAGCACTTAGTTATGTGGTCTGATCACAGTGATGCTTTCTTAGCCACAAGATCTCTGATCTAGGTGCACAGCAGAGTGAAGGTTGGCAGGGACTTTGGAAGGTCTCTGGTCTAACCTCTGCTCAGAAGGCCATCAGAGCACAAGCAGTAGCTTAGGCAAGCTTTGCACATCTCCAAGGATGGGGGTAGTTGGCCTTGTCCTCTCACTTGAAGAAAGGAAAAAAAAAAGGGAAAAAACAAAAGCAGTGTTAAAAAGGCATTGCTAGGGATCTGTAAGAGAGCTAACAGATGTGTTGTGCTGTGATGAAAGCCATCTTTCTCCATGCTGAGCCAGAGCAGACAGCCAGACATGCGTGCTGGACCTGACATATGTCTGCTCCTGGACATCTGGTCCTGTCAAGGAGGACGAGTGCTCTGGGGGCCATACCCCAGCACGTCTTGCCTGTATCTCTCTGGAGCCGATTGCTGATGCTCTGCTGTGTTCAGTGCTTGTCTGAGTCATGAGAGGGGCTTGTGCCATTTCACATCACTGAATGATACCATCTGGATTGGGAGCAGCAGGATTTTTGCGAGCACATGGAGGATTTGCCCAGTGATTGTGCACATATTTGGGTTCAAAATGAATGTAAGTTCCAGGCAGGCCGCCACCAGGCACTCCTGACCCCACAAGAGAGACAAGTATGGCAGAGACAGTTGAGGTGGGAGTCCCAGCTCCTTGCATCTGTGCTGCCGCCACAGTCTGATGTAGCCTTGGTCAAAAAAATACTTGCAGAGAAATACTCCTCTGCTGCCCTCCATCTGGCTTCTGCCAGTCTGTGCTAACTTATCATGCATGGACCCGTCCCTGCTCATGTACGAGGTTTTTCATAGAGTACTTACCCTTCTAGGACATTGCCAACAAAGAGGTTGGTACTGAAGCTTTCCACGAGCTCCAGTGACCAAGGATTGTGTGTGGAGGCTGTGCTGAAAGAGCTCTGCAGTTTGACTGAAACAGCATGATTTGAAAAGAATGCTGTTATCCTGGTGGAGACCACAGGCTTAGAGCAAGAGTAGGGATGTTGCATCCTTGAAGACATAATCCTTTGGGGAAAGAAGAGCTGGAGCTGCAGTTCTGCAAGATTTGTTTCATTTTTTGATTGCTGGTACATGGAAATGAGCTGAAAATCATTCCCTCAGAGATTGCCTTGCCTACAGACTCAGGGACAAGCAATTTTTGATACAGAAATGCAGACACTTGTGTGGTTTCTTCTTGGCAACATTTTGCCCAACTTTTTGTTGGTATGAGCACCGAGCTGGATGCTGAGCCCAGATGGCTTCCATGGGTTTTGGCAATGCTAACAGGAGGCACCAACCACATTTCCTCAACATTTTATCCGTCTTCCATGCACACAGTGTCTGTGCACTAAATGTCTGTGATGTTTCATGGCACCAGCTTCCCTGCAATAATCACGAATGGCTAGGTTGATGCAAGTGCTTTCTTTCACCAGCAGAGAATGCATCGCTGGTCAGATTGATCCTCCCATGCACTCAACTGGAGCATAATGCTGGGAAAGGCAATAACTCCTCTCCTACTGAGAACTCAGGACTTCAGCTGGGGCACAATGGAGAGGTTTTCAGGGTGCTCTGCAGAATCCAGAAGGCAAAATGTGGTGCAGTGAAGATGATCCATGCTCTAAGAATAATCTGTCTTATTTCCATATAGCTGTTTCTTAAGCAGATGTGGTCTTGAACATCATCAGAAGGAAAGTCTTTTGTCTGGGATTGCAGTATCATCCCAGGAACAATTTTGCCTCAGCAATTTTTTGCTGATTGGAAATGCATCCAGTGAGCAGACTTGCTATTTGTTCCTCCTAGCCTTGTGCAGAAAAAATGAGCAGTGCACGTGTCTGCCTGACACAGAGCACTTGCTCACACCTTGGAAATGCCAGCCAGAAAACTTCATTGCAGCAACACCTACTGGCAATGGGAGATTCAGCCCAGAGATTCCATATTCAAGTCCTGTTGGTGCTGAGTCTCAGCACTGGCAGCAGCTTTCTTCTTCCAGTTTCTTCTTGTGAGAGAGAATTATTTTGCAGGGCTCAGAAATGCCGCATGTAGGAAGGCAGAGCACACCCATAGGAAGCTTACGTCTTGATGGCTCTGCTGCCCTCAGCATTGCTGAAGACAGCTTTTTTAATTAACTTTCCTGAGAAGGGCTTTGTTTCATATGTGGAGGGAAGGTGCAGAATGCATTTTAATGGGAGTTGCCAGGAGAATTATTGATTTGGCGAGTAATGTTTCTGAAATAGTGCCATTCTGTTAATTCTGTCAGGTCCTCTGATAGCTTGGCTGAGAGCATTAGGTTTTAATACGCAATAATTTCCTCTAACTCATCAATGCATAGCAAGATCAGCTGCATGCTTGGTAACCATTTTTCCTACGTACAAAACCTTTGCAGCAATAATTACAAACAGAACAAATTATTACGGATATTCATTCTAAGATACCATTACCCCATACTGTGCTGCACTGTTACACTTTTCACAGCCATTGCTTGCTCTTGAGTAAATGGTTTCATTATAAGCATGAAGGGCAAACTTAATACACTTCTGACTCACAGCGAACAGCACAAGAAATCATCCTGGCTGTTCCACCAAGTGCTTGGCAGTGTTTGCTATGAAAGAGAGTAAAACGTCACCTCTGCTGCCAAATACCTGTCAGCCAGGCAGAGGGGCTCTGCCTAGCAGGATGCAGCAGATGGGACTGCTGCGTCCCCCTTGAACTCATCCACCAAAGCCCACAAAGCCCAATGGAACAGCCAATGGTACTGCTGCAGATTAGCCGTGCCGGGGCTGGTTAAATGGGAGCAAGCCATTGAGAGGCTGCTTTGCACCTAGGGTTTTTGAAGATACCCTGACCCCATGGACCTCCCTGCTCGTCCTCTTGGCCTCTCAGCCTCTGCCTTTTGCTTTCGGCTGCGCTGCCCCTCCAGCTGTGCTACCAAACCCACTGTTTTCTCTCCGCAGCCTCCTTCTCCTGGCCTTTCCACCCTCCTCCTCTCCCTGTCTCCCTCCTCCCTCTTCCCCCCTTACTCTTGAATCTCTATTTCTTCTTCTCTGTTCCAGCAAAACGATATCAATCAAGGTGATAGATGATGAGGAGTATGAGAAAAACAAGACCTTCTACCTAGAGATCGGGGAGCCCCGGCTGGTGGAGATGAGTGAGAAGAAAGGTGGGGGACGTGCTCCGGGGCTGAGCCCAGCCTGTGTGTCCCTGTCTGGCTCACTCATGCCTAGCACCTGCAACACCGAGCTCACATCCGCAGCGCCTGCGGAAAAGGGCAGGAGCGGAGCCCCCAGAAACCCCCAGGGATGCTCCTGCCCTTCCCCGCCTGCCCCATTGGGATGTGCAGCCGCTTCCCTCCCTCCCCAACCATCTCGGCACCACGGCGGACGTGAACTGCATGCGCGTGCGACGCCAATCATGTGTTTGCCTTTGTCTTGTGTTCCCACAGGAAATTCATTACCCTTAGAATACTTGACCGTGAGGAGTATGAGAAAGAGTGCAGTTTCTTCCTTGTGCTTGGGGACCCGGTGTGGCTACGACGAGGAGTGAAAGGTGTGAGAGTAACACCAGACCAGCTCTCGAGACGCTGCCGTCCGCTTTTCTCTGTGTCTCCCTACTCTCACACTCCTTTCTCCTCGCACTCTGGCTCCCGGCCGTTTTGCCCTCCTTCCTTCAAAGCTTGGCCCCTGCAGCTTTTTACTCTGTTTTCTGTTCTCTTTTGTTTTGGGGGGGACTCTGTCTCGCTGGCAAGGGCTCCCCCTGGTATCCAGGCAGGGGATGATGAGCATCGCCAGCCCCCACAGACATTTTGAGCGTATCGCCCCACCACCCCACAGCTACAGCTTCATTCAATTTAGTAGAAAACCAGTAGAATTCAGTAGAAATCAATTCAGTCTCCAGAAGCAAGCAATGCTGCATCATTTTTATCAGAAGATACAAGTAGCCTCTGCTTGAAGTAAAATGCATGGCCAGAGCAGTCTTTTCAGTCTTTTCTACGCTGGCACTAGGGTCTGAAAATAGCTCAAAATCACGGCACAAGCAGGTAATGCCGTAAGATGCAATCAATCCAGGAGAAATCAGGTTACACTCAAATAAAGTTTCATGGCTCTGCACTGGATAATAGCTCCTCATAGGAATAATAAAAACAATTTCCTCTTTCATTACATAAAATAAAAACATTTCTCAACCAACTACAAACCTTTCCGAAAAGACACGGCTCACTTCGTTTTCCAAGCTTTCTTTTTTTTTTCCTTTTTTTCTTTTTTTTTTTTTTCTCCCAAGAAATTAACTAAAAATTAACATCAAGGCTAACCCTCCATGCTATTGGTTGCCAAGCAAGAAGCAATTTTAAAGCTACTTAAGATAATTAGTTGCCCTACAACAGTCCCTTATGAAAGCCTTTGTAACAAATTGGCAGGAACGGTTGGGCTGCCTGTCTGGTTTCTGGGACGGAAGCTCTCCCTGCAGCAGCCACAGGGCTGGCACATACTGCTCTTCAGGACAGAGAGGGTCCCCAGCAGTCCCCATGTTTGGCAGGGAGATGCCACACTATTTCAGCCTAATATCTGGCAGTGATTCCCCTTCCAAACAGGTGCCTTGCAGGTCAGCTTTGCCATCTTCTCTGTCAGGTTTCCAGCTGGTTTTTGTGGCTAGCTGCATTATGTGAACTGGTAGGAGGAGTCAGGCTAAAAAAAAAATCAGTTTCTCGCTCTCCTGGTCACAAATTGAGGGTAGCTGAGAGATGTTCAGTTTTACAAACTAGCTAGTTGAAAGGCTAGTCAGGATTTAAAGGGATACTATTTGCTGCTTTGGCCATGCTGTGTTGGGTTTTTTTGTTGAGCCGGATTTTGTGCTTGATTTTACAAGAGGCAGCGAGATGGGGTGAGCAGCGCTCACAACCTGCAGATGGGAGCACTCCTGAAATGTCACCGCTGCGCCATGTAGCCACACTGCGGTCTGTGCCTTGGGAGCCAGAGACCCACTTTGCACCGAGGGAGAGCTTTTTTCTTTCATTTCAAAAACCTCAAATGTTGAGTAAGCAGATCCCTGAGCCAAACTTTGCCCCAGACTTTTTTCCTCTCATTCCATATGTTAGAAGCACAGCTGTCAGCAGTAGTTCTTGCTCCCCATTAAGCAGCTGGAAGAGGTCGAAGTCATTATGCACTGCACATGGGACACGTTGTGTCCTCCTCCAAGGCAAAACTGCCCCCGAGACCAATGGAAGATCTTGCACATATGATTCAAAGGGGAAAAATGAATTTTGGGAGTGTGCCTTTTATCTCATACCCACCCCATGTCTGCAGTCATTTTTATTTTAAATCCGCAGTCCCATGAAACGTTTCCGTTCCTTTATTTTTAGTGCATCTCTCTCAACACTAATGGTATCCTGCAGTTTTACAGATCTGAAAGCTCTGCCCTGGGATCTGGAGTTTTTCTGTGAATATTCCTTTTGATTTCATTATTCATTTACTTTTCTTCTTCTGTGTTTGTCTCTGTCTGTCTCCTTCACAGCGCTGTTGTTGAATGAGCTTGGTAAGCGCGCATTCCTTTTTCTTTTCCATTTTTCCAGTTTGTCTGCATATTTTCAGAAGACGATTGATTTTGTTTGACATTTTTCCTTGCTCACAACATTCTCTTCTAGGGCGGTCAGCACTATTTAAGTAAGCTCAGGTATCTGATGCCCCATCAGCCTTCGGAATAGAGCCCAAAAGTCATTGTTAATGAGCGGTAACCCACCATGGCAAAGAACATTTTCTGGGAGCGGAGTAGTAACAGGCATAGCAAACCCGCCAACAATCCCGGGTCACGAAACTGTACCATGACTAGTCCATAGCCGCCTATGCTGACATGGCAAAAATAGAGTGGGCTGGTGACAGGGTCAGCAGAATTGGCCAACCCATCTGGAAGAGGTGATACCTCCTGTTTGGAAGACAGGGAAGGAAGTGAAGCACCCCAAGGCCCCTGGCAGGCTATGTTAGGTGCCAGGGAATTACAAATACTTTTGGGCAGGGTGTCCCCATGCCATCCCCAAGCTAGAAGTAAGGAATCAGCCCCCATCCCCACATGAGGCAGGGAAGGACCTCCATGTCACTGTAGGCTGCAGAGGGCTGCTGTGATGATGCTAACCCTCTCTTTCTCTTTCTCTTTTTCTTTCTCTCTTTCTGTCTCTCTTGTTTTTGGTTTTGTCTAGGTGGCTTCACCATCACAGGTATGGATTTCTGCTTTCCCCCTGTCCCTCCCCCTTCCCTTTCTAATGGCTGTATGCTCATCCTGCTCTTTCCTCTTGGTTTCCTCTTTGCTTTTGTTCCACCCTGGAGGGAAACTCTGGAAGGGTAAGCAGGTGGTGAGGCCACCCTCGCTCACACCGCGTCCCCTCATAGCATACCCAGCCTGCTATGCATGAGGCCCTTGGCAGGACATGATGGTTGGGAAAAGGCTCAGCGGGCCGCAGAGCAGCCCCTCAGTAGCACTGCCAGTGATGCCTGAGGCTATAGCAAGGCTCTGGCCACGAGCAGCTCTCTGCAGGCAGTGGGGCAGCCGGGAGGGAGCCACGCTAACCCCGTTTGCAGTAGAACATAGTTTACTAACAGCACAACATGGGTGTGCACAGGGCATGCAGTGCCTCCGACTGATCTCCTGTTGATCGCTCTGATAGGCAAACCTGTCTTCAGGAAGGTACAATCTAGAGAGCGTCCTCTTCCTTGCACCGTGGTCACCATCCGAGGTACCCAGGGGTCTAACACAGACTGATTGGTGTGTTTGTTTACTGACCCAGGCAGATTAACCCATTTCTTCAGCAAACCCGGCCCCCCTTGGACCCTGATGGCCTTCTGATCGTCCCCAGGGTGGGCTGGCAGAGAGGAACGTGGGGGTCCGCACAGGGACAATGACAGAACGTCCCCTGCCTTGAGGCTGCAAAGATGTCAGCAAAGGTGCAGAGCAGCTCCGTGGCTCTTGCAGTGCTGTCACTGCCAGCTCTCTCACATCTGAGACCAGTCATGCCCTTGGAGATGGCTCCTCACACAGTGCTAGCCCAGCTCTTCCCTCCAACCCCATGCTCTGCAGCTGCCAGGCTGCTCTCCCTCAAGGTCAAGCCCTGCTCAGGAGGGTCTCATGCCCATCTCAGGCCTGGGGTTGCAAGTGGCTCTGTCTGGTTGCAGTGGGGTGATGGAAATGTGCTAATCATAGACCTGAAGGGCTGGGAATTGTAGCAACTTTAGAGGCAATCTGTTCCCCCAAGCAACCCCATAGGAGAGGCAGCAGTCACCAGGCAATACACAATTCTTCCACCCGAAGGGCGAATTCAACTCTTCCTGAGGTTGGACAAGTTGCAAACCAATTTTGCTAGCATTTCCCAGCAAAACTGCCTTATCTATCGCTCCATGACCTCCTTCTTCTTGCCTGCTCTGTTGCTCATGTTCCCCCCAAAGGCTTCCCGACCACCAGCTGATGGGAAGCCAACTCCAGGGAGTGGCCGTCCGGGCCTGGCTCACAGGCGGGCTCTTTGCTTTACAGAGGAGAACGAAGAGAAGCAGCCACTGACCAGCAAGGAGGAGGAAGAGCGTCGAATTGCAGAGATGGGGCGCCCTGTCCTGGGGGAGCACACCAAGCTTGAAGTCATCATTGAGGAATCCTATGAGTTCAAGGTACTGCTCGCATCTCATGCCCTCATCCTTCATCTCCTCTGGCTTTTGGGTTTGCACAGCGTTGGCAAACACATGCTAATGGCATAACAGCAAAGCAGGGCAGCTCCTGACATCACTAGGGCTCAGACAGTCTGTGATCACCATTATACAAGCAAGCTGTTTTCAAATATAACCTTGCTATGACAGCCATGCTTTGCACTCTATTTACATTCAGTCTTGAGTGGTCCCTGGTCGTGGGACCCTGGTTGAGTGCTCCCCCCGGATGTGGGACTCCCACAGCAAAGGGCTGATACCCTAAATGCAAGCAGTCATTGTGGCTCTGTGGTGAAGCTTCCCAGGAGCATCTCCTACCTTCTCCAGCAGCAGTGAACTTCTCCTCCTGAGCAGCACACACAGGCAGTATCTTTCTCAAGTTTCAGTTATTTACAGTTCTTAGAAGAAGCCCAGTAAAAAGTCCTCCCAAGGTATTACGAACAACGTGAGCTGCAGCATCTCACTGCTATTTGCTGTTAAACCTCCACCAAGACCACTCAAACTCCCACTGTGAGCAGGTTCGAAAGGTCTTTATGAGTGGCAATAAGGGGAATTGCTGATGCTTACATTTGCTTTCACTGCAGGGGCACTTGATGTGAACTTAGCGTCTGCTAAGCTTTATCCATAAACATACAGCTGTAAGCACCAGCACTGGTGGGTTTTAGTCCAGCATCTCCAGCCTCATGGCCCTGATTCTCTCTTCTGCATCTCCATTTGCAGAACACGGTGGACAAGCTCATTAAGAAGACAAACTTGGCCTTGGTGGTTGGCACAAACAGCTGGAGAGAGCAGTTTATTGAGGCTATTACTGTCAGCGCGGGTGAGTTTGGTCTGTGGCTCCAGGTGAATTACGGTCAACCTCAGTCATGTCTCAGATTGGCTGTAGCAGTAATATGGATCATAGTGGAGCAAGAGGAAGCAAAACAAGTGGTAGAGTTATTTACAGTGTCTGCATAAATAAGGCAGTTGATTAAACCCTTTAGTGAGATCACCCTGTCTGATGCATGGGAAACCTCCTGCAGTAAGTGTATTTGTTGTGCCCGGCAGAGAAACACCCAGGCTGCTACTGCATGGCAGAAGGGAAAAGTGGCTTCAGTGAGAGAGCTTTGGGGTGCAAATGCTGTGTTTAAATTCAGAGTAGCACAGATGGTGCTGGTAGGAAGTGGTACTGCTCCCTGCCCCTGGTGCTCCCTGCAGTGGGGTCTGTGCAAGGGCCAAGATAACAGGCATTGAAGACAGCCTCTGCATCCCCCCTCTGATGGCCAAAAATTTGCTCTTGATCCCCTGCATTCAGGACAGGAATGCTCCTCCAGCCAGCCGTATTTATGGCTCTGCAACCCAGTACTTCCCCCACTTCTGTGAAAGGTAGATCTTGTTTCAACAACTGGGGACATTATAACTCAGTGGCTGGATGTTACAGCCCTGGGTTCTGTGTCTGCAAGCATTAAGGCAAAATCAACCAGCTTAGATTAAAACACAGCGGAAGGCAATCTGAGCCCACCTGAATAATTTGGCTTTGAAAAGGGTGGGGAAACACATTTCCTACCTTGAGCTCTACTATACAGGGCAAACTCTGCACGGCACAGATTAATTAAAAGTGATGGCTGTACCATTTACCCTTTGCATCTGAAAATGAGGACAGGACATCGTGCAGTAGCTATCCCCTCAAATTGCCATCCCTCTTTTTGTATCACAGTTATTCTTAGAGCCTCCAGCCAAGAGCTTCCTATTATTTCAGATACAGAATGAACATATCATGCAAGACAATCCTCGCTGCAGGTTTCATAGCTAATATGGTTAAAATAATCTATGCCAGAATCAATTATTTAATTGCATCCCATATTAAAGCAAAGATAATCACTGGTATTCGGATCTCATCTCTGTGACGCATGTAAAGGCTGCAGTTATGTGAAAGCCTCACCACTGTCATGCCTTGAATATACAGCTACCATCAGTGCTAACAGAATGATTAATAGACATTTAATAAGTGTGGCATAATTTAGTGGAAATGACCTGTCCCTGGCATCTGGGAAAAAGAAGTTTGTCCCTACATTTTTGCTAGGATTTAGCTCCTGAAGCAAAAACATCCTGGAATTGGTGAGCTGAGCTGCCTGGTCACTGCCCAGCCTTGCTCTGTGTTTCGATTCACCTCAGCAGGATTTGGCCAGCAATTCAAAAGAGAGCCATTATTCCTGCTTAACAAAATGACAGACAGATGTGGATGAGCATTATGACAGCAGCACTCATGTTCATTTTTCAGTCTGCTTTATCATCTCCCTAAAGATCTGGATCCACAGCAGTCTTGCTGCCAAGTAGCTTGGGAAAAGGATTAAAATACCTGCTGCAAAATTACAATGTCAGCACAGTACAGCGTATCCTGCCAGTAGCAGCTTTTGTGCAACAAGCAAAAAAAGGCAGGCATAAGCTTCCCAGGCTGAAAAAATTCCCTATATCCACGACAATGCACAGGAATAGGTTATTTATATTAGCCAAAATAATAATACCATGCTCCTGATTTGCTACCGCTTCTGCCATGGTGAGTGCAATGTTTTAAAGCCAACGAACGCATGATTTTCCATCAAGTTATTCTAGAGAAACCATGTTTACACGTTGGTCTTGAATTGCAAAAGTACTTTGAAGCCAAGCAATATGTGTGCAGTGTTGCCCACCCAGCAGGGTGCTGAGTAGGACTTTTCCCAGACTGGTCATTGCTTTATTATCTTTCCCCAATAGCTCCTTTGTCATGGTATGTGGGGTTAATTGACGCCTACAGATCAGCCTTCCCCCAACATGGGTGAGTCTAAGCAGGTGTTTCTCTCCAGGAGAAGATGACGATGATGATGAATGTGGGGAGGAGAAGCTGCCCTCCTGCTTTGATTACGTGATGCACTTTCTGACCGTCTTCTGGAAGGTCCTTTTTGCCTTCGTGCCCCCAACAGACTACTGGAACGGCTGGGCCTGCTTCGTTGTCTCCATCCTCATGATTGGCATCCTGACAGCATTCATTGGTGACCTGGCGTCCCACTTCGGCTGCACCATCGGCTTGAAGGACTCCGTCACTGCAGTTGTGTTTGTGGCACTGGGGACATCAGTGCCAGGTAAGGACAACAGAAGAGTTTGTTGGAAAGATCCATCTCTGCCCAGTCTGGTCCAGGGTTTGGGTTGGGAAAGCCAGCGAGGTCCTCAGCTGTGTTCTGCAGGACCCAGTGAGGGGCAATTGGAGATGTACATGGGAGTTGTTTTTCAGTCTCAGATGAGACAGGAGGATAAACCAAGATGTGATTTCACTCCTCTGGAAATACTTTCAAGCTCTTTCCACTTGCAAAGGCTGTGAAGCCTCTATTTCTTTGGATAGCCTCCATAGCATTGGCTCTCAGAGTGGGAAATCAGTCTTTTATTAAAATGCTGCCAGTGTTGACCATCGTGCACTTTTTTTGGAATGTCTGCTCCTTTGACATTCTCTCCCAGCTGAAATAGGTGCTTGCTTGCGCTACACAGTACAGGTGTTTCTGCGTGGGATTCAGACTGATCAAGATGAGGCCACTGAGCCAAGGGGAGCTGCTAGAAATGCCTTTTGTAAAAGCTGTAGAAGGCCCTGTATGCACACATGTTCAGAGACATGTCTCTGATCACTTGGTCAGGTCATCCAGCTTCAGAAGGCAGCAGAGACTGAGGACTGACCTGGGAGATATAAAAGATGAGTTTCTATTGCCATATACCACTGTGCTGACCAGACACAGTCTGATTCCCAGAGAAGGGGCTGTAACTCTCCTGCTTCAGTCTCACCAGTCCTAGACTTCCAGTGATCAACACTTAAGTGCTCAGAGATCTTGAAACTGACCTAGCACTATCAAAGCCCAAAAGGGAATCAAAAGAACCAAAAGGGAGAGCAGATTTGGGCAAGGAAAGGAAAGAAGCTATTTATAGTCTTCTGGCACTAGTGCTACGTGTGAGTTTTGCAGGGCTGTCTCATAGCCTCAACATACAAAATCTCCCCTCTGTTTTTGTTGACAAAAGTTGGCATTTCGGGAAACAAGGGAAAGCGAGAAATTCTTTTTAGGATATATTTGGCTTCTTGTTTGAATTAGCAGGTGCTCACAGATGGTGCAGTGCTAACTGGGCTCCTGGGTTTGCATGTAAAACCAGCACTTCCCTATGGAACATCACACTGGTCTACTGGACACGAAGTCTGCAGTGTAAGAGGCCAGTCAGGTTTATTACAGATCTTTTGCTGTTGGAGCTGGTGAAACAGCAAATGTGCACACATCTGCATGGCTTTTAGTCCCTGCTAAAGGGGTGAAAGATGAGCTCTTGATTACCAAATGTTAGGCTCTGCACAAGGCTCTGGAATTTAGTGAGGGAAAAGGCACTGGAGAGAAATCATTAAAGCAAACACAGAAATGCAAATACAAACGTCAGCAGACCTGATGGATAGAGACAAACCATTGTGGCTCCCACAAAGCTCTTCCAACCAAGTCAGCCTGTCAGTGCATGTGGGCCAGAGGCCGATACACAGTGGTACTGGGAAGGGCTGCCTTAGCTTGAAGCACCATGGGGCATCTGAGGATCATACTGGGGGAGGTGCCCCATATTTCTGGAATTAGAGATTTCCTTCCTGCGAATTTCTGGACCCTGACTGTCCTTCCTTGAGAACGCTTGTAGACAAGTCTGTATCCTTAACCAGTGCTTTGTGGCATCTGTCCCCAAGATACCCTCCACTAGCTCTCCCTACCTGTCTGTTGCCTGAGGGTTTCTCTCCACCTTTCCTTTGCAGACACGTTTGCCAGTAAAGTGGCAGCAACGCAGGACCAGTATGCGGACGCCTCCATTGGGAACGTCACCGGGAGCAATGCTGTGAACGTTTTCTTGGGCATCGGAGTGGCCTGGTCCATCGCGGCCATCTACCACGCAGCACATGGACAATCCTTTGAAGTCTCACCTGGCACCCTGGCCTTCTCCGTCACTCTCTTCACTATTTTTGCTTTCATCAGTGTGGGCGTGCTGCTCTACCGGAGGAGACCCGAAATTGGAGGTGAGCTAGGTGGGCCGCGGACTTCCAAGCTGCTCACATCCTCACTCTTTATCCTCCTCTGGCTCTTGTACATATTCTTCTCATCTCTGGAAGCCTACTGCCACATAAAAGGCTTCTAAAGGAACAATCAGAGATAGTAAATATATGTATATCTATATGTATCTATATAGAGCAATATATAGGTATAGATATAGATATAATGCTGTGTATAATGAACAGAGAAAGAATAAAAGAGATTTGCCATGTTCACACACCTGCTGATGGAAAGCAGCTTTGGAGAGTCCTATGAACTAGGCAGGACCCAAAGTTGGCTGGACCCCTCCTCAAGGGTCCCTTCTTTGCAACTCTACCAGTGAGAGCAGCCAGCAGCCCCTGAGCCCTTTCCCATTGCTCCCACTGACTCCGGGAGGATGGATGCAAACGCAACTGGGCGAGTCGGCACAGGGAAGGCCGATGGCTGGCTAGAAGTGGAGACAGTGGGCAAGGAAAGGAGAGCAAGGGTCCCGACCTCCGACCATCCTCCATCTGCCTTCGCCACTTGGGAACATCTCCTCCGGCCCTATTGGAAAGAAGCGAGAGACCAGACTGAAGACAAGGGGAAATTGGGAGCCTCCTAAGGATAGAACACAACCATTTTCATCATTTGATTTATTTTTTTTTCATTTTGACGTATGTACAATTAGCATTCCTCCCTTTCTCCCTGCTCCATTTTCCCCTTTCCCCATGTTCTCTGTGCTTTGGGGACACAGCCACATGTCTGGTGTCCTGAGCTGAGGTCCCACCTCGTCCCTCCCTGGGCATGCTGTCATGGTACTAGTAACATTTGCATGAACAAAACGACCCCTACCTGTATATAACCTCCTATAGTGATAGTCCTTCCAGCTGTGTGGGTTGAGCATTGCTGATATAAGTGTTTTCTTTTCACCAGGTTTTATTTATTATAGTTAGTGTAGTTTCTCTCATAGGTTTGGGTTTTTTGTTGTTGTTGTTGTTATTCTTTGGTTGTTTGTTTCCTCTTCACAGGGAGTGACAGGAGGGAAAGCTTTCCCCACTCCCTGTTCAGTACATGTGTCCCCAAGAAGCAAAAACAGCCACACGGACGTAGGTTTTCTGTGTCCTTGGAGGCCAAGTGGCAGCCCTCGTTTCAGGACGTGTCCTTGGGGCTGCTCCTTCCCCACAGCCATTTGGAATAATTCAGCACAAGGGCTGTAAGGAGTTCTCCTCATGTGCCACATTGGGGCGCAGCTCTGGCACAGAGGTGAGGGGCTGGTGAGCAGGGTGACAGGGAGGAGGCAGAGCAAGGGATGTGTCTGGCACATGCTCCTTCTGAAACCAATGGAAGGGGCACAACAGGGCCACTTCAGGATGCCTGCAGAGTCTGGGGGATGTCCCCTACCTGCGCTTCCCACCAGCCATACCAGTGGCCCAGACAGGCAAACCCCTCATGCGCATCCACTGGTGAGCTCCTCCAACCTGGCTGGAACGCACCTCTGCACCATAACCCTTGGGCTGGGGTATTTGTATCCGTTGTGAACAATCTGCAGGAACTTCAGTGAACCTGTTGTAAGAGTTTCTCCAGGAGTCTGAAGATTTTTTTTCCTTGTCAATCCTCTTCTCACTTTTGAAGGGTTGTTGTGGTTTTCTTTTTGTTGGTTTTTTTTTTGTTTGTTTGTTTTAAGGGAAGAATTGAACACAGATGCAGGTTGTTCAGGTGTGTGATTACCTTTATGTACAATGACTTCATTTTCATTTGTTTGCCTTCGTTGATTTTTCATTGTGTGTATTGCCCACCACTATAGGCAGTGATCCACTAATTGTGATGATCCTTATCAATGGTACACAATGCACAGACAAATAAAGTTTGCAATGATTCCTCATGGACCCAGTAGTGCTCCTGCATATTCTCTATGGAGAACCCTCCCCTTCCCCCTTGTTGTCTTCCTGTACGTGGCACCCACCTCTTATTTCTTCATCGCTTTGCCTTTGTTGTGTTTCTGCTGCCAACAAGGGCCCCCACGTGCCCGCTTCTGCCCCATGGGTGAGGATCAAACACTATCACTGAGCCTGGTCCTCCTAACCAAAAATCCAAGGCTGCTTTGTGTCACCCGATCTGCCCACAAGCACTCGGCATCCCCCAGGACGAGCACACGTTGAGCATCAGCAGCATTAAGCCAAGCACAGTCTCTCGCATCCACATGCTTTCCCTGGGCCCTGAACTATATGAGCAGAGCAGCTCTCCTGACCCAGTAATTACATCTCCGGAAAGGTGATGCTGGTGTTTCGCTCTCATCATCCTTCGCTTCTCTGCCATGAACTGCACTCACTGAAGTAATTAACAAGTCAAATGGGACTTGTGCAGCAGCCTGCTTTAAGAGGCAGTAAATAACTGTTCTGCTCAAAGAGCCTTCCAGCGGGGATGATGGAGCACTGCTTGCTTAGGACACGGCCTAAATCACGCAGTTAACGCCAGCCTTGTTTATGCTATTACTCTGCCAGCCGCATGCTTTTGGCATCCTTAACGAGCTCGTGCAAAGCGTGATGCCTCTCTGCCCTGCAAACCGCACTCCTCAAGACACACAGGCTCCGGATGCCTCCAGTTTTGGGGGAGATTTTCTCCCTATGTTTTTCACTTCCTACAAGGACAAGAGGGCAGGGGAGGGCTGGAGACCCTTTCTGGTAGACACATGCCTCAACTATGCCAAGCAACTGGATGTGGTCTGTGAATTCAGTGTGCTATTTATTTTTGCTGCGTGCCAGGAGGAGAGGGCTGGAGCATGTGTGTTATTGTTAGGGTTATTTTTAAACGCTTGGGTATGAAGCAAGAGCAGCAGTACTGGGGGCTATGTGTGTGTGCCTGCGGAGGAGGATCGGACACCTTACCAGCCCAAAAGTGCCGGTGTGCCGGTGTGCCAGAGGGAGAGAGAAGAGGAAAAGCTTCATGCTGGAGGGAATAATTCTGGGAGAAGCCTTCGCAGGATTTTTCCACAGGCTTTGGCACCTGCGCCCATCCCAGGCAGCACATTTGCAGAGCACCAGGAGCCTCCCCAGCTTCTCAAGATGCCCAACCACACACACAGGCACAGCTGCGGGAAAGCCTGTTTATCTTGTAAAAGCTCAACTTGTGCAGGAAAGCATCCAGAGGCCTCTGTATTCTTGCAAAATGCGCCGAGGGACAATAAATACAGCCAGATTCCTCACCTTTTAAGGACTTGAGACTTCCCTCTTTTGGAAGCAGAGGTGCCAAGCTCGTCACCAGCCCTGGCATGAAGGAGTGGGAATGCTGCTGACATAGGCGCTGCCAGCTGGATGTCTGGCATGGGGACAGGGGCAGCACCGCTATGTCCCTCCACTGCTGGAAACCCCGTTGAGGGGCTGTCCCCAACCTGAATGCTGTGACTGTCAGCTGGATGCACCTGATGGCTGGGACACAGTGACAGAGATGTTCCCCAGCATCTTGGACGTGAGGCCAGGCAAGCGATGGCCACCATGCATGTTTCCAGGTGGCAGTGGAGAAGGCGGGCACACCGAGCCCTTCCTGCTCGCTTTTACTGTCGCTCCCTCAGGGGGTGTTGGAAGTTCCAATGTTTCTGCTGTATTTCCATGTCCTCACGGCCCACACATGCTGTTGTTCCCCACCTGAGCATGTCAGAGCAAACTGAACACTGTAACTGGGGGCTCGAGGTCCACTTCACCTCTTTCAGATCAAAAAAGCGCCTGTTCTCAGCACTAAATGTTCTAAAAAACCGGCTCCACATTACAGTGGGCAGAGCTCAATCAAGGCCCAGTCCTGCTGCGTGGTGATAGCATGAGGTTGAGACAATGTCCTTGCTGGGAGACGTCCAGCTGCAGCAACTTCTGGTACTGACCCAGCCTTAGAGCTCCTGGACCCTCACAGGACACGGGGGACACTCACAGGGCCCTCCCTTGGCCTCTCTGTAGAGGCTGGATTTATTTCCTCTCTTTTATGCCCAAATCAAAGCCTGACCCAGGCCGGTCTGGGGGTAAAACCAGCTTTCATAGACTGCTGGCTCTGTGGTGGTCTGGTCTTGCTGAGCAGTGAGAGCTGCCCTGAGCAAAAAGACAAGCCAGCACCTCCCATATCCTCACCTATCTGTTCCATGTGGCTTCCCTCTCCTTCCCAAGTCAATACGTATTTGTTCCCCAATGGCCACCCTCGTCACAAGGCTCCTCCAGCTCCTGCCCTGCACAGAGCACTAAGCCCATGGTGCCTCATGGCAGGAGGCTGGGCTCTGCTGATAACCCGGACCTTCAGGCTTCCCAAGGAGGCCGCAGCTCAGCAGTATGGCCAGATGGGACTTTTTGCAGACTGAGAGAAGATAGCGGGGAGCCCTCCTCCGAGCTCCAGCCTGACGCTGGGACAAACAGCCAGATGATGGTAAAGCCACCTCAGGAGCAGAGCTCTTGCAGCCTCATCGGAGGCTTCCATCAGCGAGGCAGAACCTCACTGGGGCAGGAGGGAGAGCCCAGCAGCACTGCTCAGCCCTCCGAGCCCCAGTGGGCGCACCATGCCAGGCAGCCCCCAGCTCAATCCTCTCCATCTCTTCTCTCGTGTGGTTCCTTGTCGGCTCACACGATGCAGCTACACTATTTGAAAAGCCATACTATTTGTTGGTACGACTCTTTTCGGACTGTTGATTTATATATATTTGTTGATAAAAGAGGTCATCTTGGGAGACGCTCGTAGTCTACTGGGGAACAATCACCCAGTGCTGTATATTCTGTACATGCTGTATAAACAAAGCAAAGTATTTAAGCCTAAATGTTTGCGGGGTGAGGGGAGGCCAGCCACCGGACAACCTGGCATCCCTTGGGGTGACTGTGGACATGGGGACGGGACCTGGCCCAAAAATGGGGCAGTGCACCCAGAGATGCGAGGCCACATCTGAAGCCATGGTGACACCGCACATCCCTTCCCCACCGAAGGCTGACCGTCCCACACATGGCCATAGAGCCACCCTGTGCTTTCTGTGTCGTTTGAAACCATCAGAGACAGTCGTGGCAGCCTCGAGAAATTGTGCTGAGCTCATCTATTTTTATATCTGTGGTGTTTCCCAGTTCATAGAGAGTAGTGAACAAGTACCCCTATAGCTGAAAGCGACATGTTCAAAATAAACATACGACTGCAGAAATTATTTGTAATAATAATTTATTTGAAATATTCTGCCAAAGATAGCTCTCTTAATGGTCTGTAAGCGTCGTTTCTCTCTCTTTGCTCTGAATGTCATTGTGAAAGCACCTTTCTCCCTGCTCTCTTGGGAAGACTTGCTTTTATTTTGGTATATATATAAGGGCAACAAAAAAGACCCATGTTTTGGTTTTTTGTTTTTTTTCCTTTTTAACCAGAGCCGTATGTAGAGGAGCAGAGGGACACAGGGAGGCACAGGGAGACGTAGGATGACTTCTTACCATTCGGGTGATGGATGGAACACAGCAGAGGGGAGGAGATGTGGGCAAGTGCCCCCTCCACAGTTCGAGCACCTGTGGGATGAGCTGGGCCCCCCAAACCACCCCCGAGGGTTCATGCTCATATGGCCCTGCAGCTCCATCTGCAATGCCTCAAGTCAGGGCCGGGCCTGGTGGGTGTGAGGTTAACCAGGGGTGAAGCTGCCCAGATCCGTCTGCTCTGAAATTAGAGATTTCTTTATTTTGTTGGGAAAACAAAAACAAAAACAAAACAAGAGTCTTATTATCCTTCCTCAGAGTTTCTGCTCGAAAGAGCTTTTTAATGCTAGAAAATCACCTCCCATCGTCGTCTGCGATCCTTACACTTGTTGCACCAGGAACTCGTCCTTATCTGTATACCCATCAGACCCCACCTTACCAGAGATACGTATGGCAGAGGGGTTGGGTTGGATGGGTCGCTGGGTCGGGTGATTTGTTTTTTGCTTCTGAGCAGAGTCATAAAACTTCTTGATGGTAAAAAGCCAGAGATTGGTGACAAAGGAATGGGTCGGGATCAGCTCCTCATGCACTTGTAGTGGAGAGGAGGCAGCAGTGTGAGGTGCAGGGGGTGAAGCAGGGATGTGGGGTGTGTGGGATGGAGCCCCCGGCAGCGTCTGCAACCGTGGCATCATGGGGATGGGCAGCAGCTGGGAGAAGAACTGGGTTTCTGATCACTGTGCATTTTGTTAATTAGGGAATTCAAATAGTTTTATTTTTACCAAAAAAAAAAAAATAAAAAAAAAAAAAAACCACAAAAAAAAAAAAATATATTCCGGTAAAGAAAAATGTTTAATTGAGATATATATATATATATATATATATATATATATACATATAAAGCATATATATATATGTTATTTGAATGGTTTATATGCTACATAACATGGAAACGTTGCGAGGTGTGTCATCCCAATGTATAAAATAAATGACTTTTCCCTGCATGCTGCCTGGGTATGTTGTGACTTGAATTAAGAATTGCCTTATCCAGAGGTTGTATGTTACCCACCTGGGGAATGGCCTGGCACTGTCCATCACATCACACGTGTATTGGTGCTGTGTTGTGTCCGGTTCCGACAAGCTGTCCGTCACCTGTGTGCTTTGTGGGAGAGCTTTATCTTGTTAAACCTGTGCTATGTAAACCTCTCATTGCCTGAAGTAGCCCAGAGTTGTACAAATCAGTGTCTTCAGCCGTTTTCCTAATTTTATCACATTTCCTAACACAAAATATAGATGTTTGTAAATTCTTCACTCATTTTGTCTATCTCTATGTTTTCTAATCTGGCAAAGAGCTGCCCCCAAACGACCACCCCTGCTCATGGCTGCTGTACCCAGTGGCTCCCTGCAGCTGGAACTGGGGATGGATGGAACTGAGGATGGGTCAAACTGGGGACCGATGGAACCGGGGATGTGGAAGTGGGGAAGGATGCTGATCACTGCGATCCTTCCCAGCTCAGCAGGACGGGCTCCTGAAGCACCAACACTGCCTGTGTGTGCCAATGGTGCCAACGTAGAGACCCATGAAATCAGAGAGACGAAGTTCTGGCAGTGAATGCCCACAGCAGGACAGGGCTTGGTGCCCGGCCTCGGGCTGCCAGATGTCCTGCCCACCTGCAGGAGCCCCCCACTTCCTCACCTCCATTGACTTGGGTTTGGGCAGCACCTGGGGATGGGATGGGGACCAAAAGCAGTGGGAGCAGAGTGGGCTGGGGGAGAGGCCAGCCTCGGGAAGGCCGTACAGAAGAGCAGTGAAAACAGGTTCACTTTTATATTCTAAACATTACATTGCTAATCGCATTTGGTCCAATTTTAAACGCTGACTGCATTTGTTCCAATGATAAAGTGCATTTCGAAGTGCAATTTAAACACTCAATTCAAAAACGCACGTCAAAAGCCAATTCAAAGTGATTGTGTTATATATATTTATATATATATATAATATATACACACACACACACACATTTATTTATTTAATTGCCCCTTTTCACCGCACCTTCCCGCGCAATCCCAGTCCCAGCGTCGAACACCCGCCCCTTCCCGCCCCGCAGCCCCGTTCCCGGGAGCCGCGGCCTCCCTCCTGGCCCCGCCCCTCGGCTCCCATTGGCTGCGGGGCGGTCAAGTTTCCCGCGCGCGCGGCACGGCAGCATGGCGGGGGAGCGGGCGGTCGGGCTTGTGCGGGAGCTGCAGAGCGCTGCGGGCGGGCGGCTGCCGCCCTTCCGGGTGAGTGCGGTGGGAGCGGGGCGAGGGGCGAGCCGAGGGCGGCCCGTCCTCACCGGGCTTCTGCGGTGCTGCAGGCGGAGGAGCTGCGGCAGGTGCTGGAGGAGATGCGGACGCTGTACGAGCGGAACCAGGCGGATGTGTGAGTGCCGCCGGTAGGAGCTGGGCGGGGAGGGCGGGGCCGCGGAGCTCTGTAACGCCGCCCTGTAACCGGGCTCCTCATCTGCCAGGTCTGAAGCGAAGTCGGGCCGAACAGATCTGATTTTCCTCATCCGGTTTCGGCACTGCTGCCTCCTCCGCAACCAACGCTGCATCGTGGCTTACCTGTGAGTGCTGCGTGCTGGGGCCCCGGCCTGCAGCGCCTCCGGCTTTCTCCTCTGCTCGAGAAGTTTGAACTAAAGAATGGGTCAAAAACGGCATCCTTCAAAGGAAGGAGGGAGCCCTAAGCAGAGCTCTTGCCCAGTGCTGCGAGGGCGAACAGGCGCTGCATCAGCAAAGATGCCGTGTTTGCCACTTGTGTCCCCCCCAGGTACGACCGGCTGCTACGGATCCGGGCGCTCCGGTGGGAGTATGGAAGCATTCTGCCCAATGCCATCCAGTTCCACATGGCAGCCGAGGAAGTGAGTCAGCCTGCTTTTCAACTGTTACCCTATTTCCCTCTCAGTATTCCCTCACTCCTCCCAAATGATTTAGTACAGTCAGAACAGCATTACATCTTTTTCCTTTACTATAAACTTGAGACACCTGATGTGCCTTACTGTAAATACCAGTTTGTTTCTTTATGCCTGAAGGATGCAATCCCAAATGCATGATAAGTACCAGTAATGCATGACCACTTCAAGGATTATCGCCTTCATCAGATCAGACTCACAGCCCACAGAACTTTGTTCATAGAAGCGTAAAGGTTGGGAAGACCAGTAAGGTCATCTGGTCTGACCATCCTAGTCTCCACATGCTGCTTTCAAATGCTGTCAGTCAAATGCTAGACTGAAGCACAGAGCTGCTGGTCAGCATGTTTGCTAGCCCAAATCCAGACTGCCCTGTGCCCAGAACAGATTTTATTTTTTTCCCCCTTTAGAAGAACTCGTACTCAAAGGAAAGCTGTGACAGCACAAACAAACCAAGTTTCATCCATCAGGAACATGTCCTTCAGCATGAGCTGTGTGGCTCTGCCTGAGGGACTGCTGTTGGCATCTGCAGGTGGAGTGGTTCAATCGGTACAAGAAATCCCTGGCTACCTACATGAGGTCAGTGGGAGGAGAGGAGGGACTGGACCTTACACAGGACATAAAGCCTCCTAAAAGCCTGTACATTGAAGTAAGTGCACGAGTGCTGGCTTCTACCTGTGAACAAAGTATGCTGACAAATGCATGACTAGTCTGCAGGAAATGTGTGTAGTAGTGGTGAGTGGTCTGAATGGCAGTGAAAAGTTCTTGTAGGGTGTAGTTCGTAGCAATTTAATTATTCTTCTAAAGACCTCTTCAGATCAATTAGAAACCTTGTTCTCACTTAAGCATTGTCAACTAGGTGTTGGTGCTTTCTTGTCATTGTTTAATAGATTTTCACAGATCAGACTATAAATCATTTTATGCCATTGATACAACAAAGCAAAAGCAAGTGGAAAATGATTTCGGAGTCAGTAGCTGAAGTGCTGTGTTCTCTTAAAAAGAAAACATACAGGCAACCAGCCTGCTCTTTATAACTGTTTCACTGCTAACAGACTGACATTTTCTGCTACATGTGTGAGGAGGCTCTAGAAATGCTGCTGTTGTGCAGTGCTACTCTTTCCCTAGTCTCTGGGGTGCCTGCTCTGCCCACTGTGCTTCATGTTGCAGGCAGAGGCATGAAGAGAACATCAGGTAGGGCCCTCAGACTATGGGGTCCACCTGGTTTTGTATTTTCAAGTCAGGGCTGTGTGAGGTGGGTAGGAATATGTCCACACTTCAGACATACGCTCCATAACTCTTGCGTCTCTTGCAGTGATGTCTGACATTTTCTGTGGGAGGTGTGCTGCTGCAGACACAGCTACCTTTCTGCTTCACAGGTGCGGTGTTTGAGAGACTATGGAGAATTTGAGATCGATGATGGCACCACTGTCCTGTTGAAGAAGAACAGCCAGGTACCTGTGACATGAAAACAAGGTTTAAATCCTCTCCTGTTCTTTTCCTTCCCTTCCACTCTTGTGACGTAGCCCTGCCCATCCCAGCTTCACAGCATGTCACAGTTCCCCCATGTGTGGCTCCCTTGTGTGTGCTGCAAGCTGTCTGCATGCACCAGGACTGCACTTCACCCCTGCCTGATCTGTGATGTAGCAGAATTGCCTATGTAATAACAAATCCAGTCTGCCTGTATTTCAGGGAAAATCTGTCTGTGTTTCTGTGCAGCACTTCTTGCCCCGCTGGAAATGTGAGCAGTTAATCAGACAAGGAGTCCTGGAGCACATTCTGTCATAAGCGTGCAGGACAGGAGCCTTTGCCTGGTGGTCTGTGCAGGACTTCAGCCACCTCAGTATTTTAGAGCACCCTACAACTCCTCATAACAGCTTGACACAAAGATCATCTCCAAGCTTGTAAGCAAACCATATTGGCCAGCACTTCGTGACCAAAGGGTGCGTAGCAGTAACACAGTAAGCCCGAGAGTCCTGCAGTGGGTGGAGGGTGTCTTGTAAGCACCACAGCTACAAGCAGGGTTTGTGAATGCAGTTTTGCTTGGAGCAGTTCTTTGTGCCTTGGAAAATAAGAGACTGACCAGCTGGGAGAGTTCCACAGCTGCCAAATAAAAAACTGCTTCAGTTTTCAATGTTAATAGCTCTTTGAGAGTCTATGTTATGTTCTTTACAGCTCTCTGACCTGGCTCTTTTGTTCAACCCAGCTTGACTGTGCAGAGTGATGCTTAGGAGGTCATTAGGTGTCTCAGTGAACTTCAACCATCAGGTCAGCTCCAAGAGTTTCTTTCTGGGGCTAGATGTGGAGCTGCTCACCTTCAATAGTGGCTGAGAGATAGTACTTCCAAAAGCATAAGCTCTAGGTAAGACCGCAGGCTTTCCTGGCCTGATGCCCATCTGACAAGCAAAAAAAAAGCAGTAGCTTAAGGAAGAATGCAAGCAGAGAAGTGCCCAAGCAGTTTTTTCACTGCTGCCCCCAGCCTAAGCTAGGGTTAGCTCAGAGGTGTTCCCTGCCTTGTTTTGCCACCCTGTGTGGGCTTTCATCTTTACCACCTTCTCCAATAGCCCTACTCTTTAGGGCTGCCCCAGGACAAGAGAAGTCTCTGCCATTTTCCGCAACAGAAAAATCGCCCATAGACCTGAGGCCTTCTCAGTCAGCCCTCTCCTGGTGTTGTCCCTGTCCTGTCCCTTATAGAAGCAGGGCTGGAGAACATCCCAGAACTGCCAGGCTAGGAGTTAAGAGCCAATTTATCCACCCTTATTTTCATTCCAACAACAGGTTGATCTATGTTGAAGCCCTTTTGCCTATATTGACTGTCAGGCTCTGTGTCACCACTCTGTTGCAGTCAGGCTTGTTTAGTCTTTCTGCTGCAGCAGTCACCACAGTCCCTTGAGAATCACAAGTCCTTTTACAGCCTGGCAGAGAGCAAGGCAGGGTGTAATGATGTACAGAGGGTAACACCCTGGGCTGATCAATATATCTGTTATCTGCTCATGTGAATGCTTGGCTTTGTGGCATCTTAGAAAGCTTGCCAGTGAAGACTTAACAAGGAAGGTGAAATGCTGTGCTTTACTTACCATGCTTCCTGCTCTCCCTGAGAATGTGCAATAAGGACAGCTTGCTGAAGTATGGTGGTGCACAGGGGATACCAGCCCTGCCCCAAGCTTTGGAGATTGAAATCTGAAGAGGACTCTTCCCTCAGATGCTCTGATCTGCTTATGGCAGAGGCAACAACCCACCAGCAGGTTAGTTTGGATCCTAGGCTCAGGTTTTGGGAAACTTCAGGTTCAGAGTCTCCTAGAGGAACTGTAGGGAAGGAGGGGGGAAAAAAAAAAAGTTCAGCAATAGTTGCAGGAGACACCTGAAATTCAGAGGAGGCTGGAGATGGCAGGAAGTACTGATACCACAATACAGAATACAGCTTTCTACTCAGAGTACACCAGATGCAGGAACCTACAGCCCCCTCTGCCCTGGCTTTCCAGATGCAGGCAGCTCCTGGGGAAATGGCTGCCCTGAGACAACAGCACATGCTGCCATTGGGACTGGTACCAAAGATTGCGTTTATAATAAGAAAATTAAGCTACCCACTGGACTAGTTTCCTTGAAGGACTAGCATCTCTATTTTCTACTTTCTACCCAGGGAAATCCTAGCAAGATCAGAGAGAACAAAGCTGATTACTCAGCCAGATTTCTTCTTTCATACCTGACAAACCTCAGCCAGGCTCAGGAGCAAGGCTGCCATAGCAGTGCTCCATCATGCATTCAGAGATGCTGGTGTGATTTTTTCAATGAGCTTCTTCAAGGCCAAGGCCTGCTCCTCCAGCATGTGGTTCTTCTTCTCAGCGTTCATCTGCTTCAGTTCAGCTGCCTGCAGGGCCATTGCAAACCCTCTGTTTTCTTCACAGAGATCTTTAATCAGCCGTTTGTTCCTGCACAGTTGAGCCTGCGGTACAGACAGGAGGCTTAAGGTTCAGTGTCCCTCCACGGAAGTCCCAGCCCAGCAGAGACAAGTGGCACCAGCACCTCCTGCACTCACCTGTGCATCCTTGAGGCGAGCTGCCCCATCTGCAAGCGCAGCTTCAGCACTCCTTAGGTCACACTGCAACCCCTCTGCCTGCTCCACAGCTGCCTGCAACAGGCGCTCATGTTCTTTCTTCAGCACGAAACAAAATCCTGATGTTATGTTGGGCTGTCCCAGGTAATGTATACATCCCACCAAGTCCCCAGCACTCTCCCTGAAGTGTGAATGGGGAAGCAGTGGAGGTGTTGCCAGATGCAAAGAGCTTGGTGGGGAGTGCTTAAGACCAGCACCACCTTCCCTAGTTCAGCACCAGTCTGTTTTTTAAAACCCAACACCTTGTTGACTTGGTGCCCTACATTTAAAGCCACCCTGCTCTGTGCATGTCCATGTAGAGGGCTCAAGCTTTCTTTCCACAGCCTAAGCCAACACAAAGTGTCTCCCTAAATGGTTCCTGCCCTCTAGGCACAAAGTATCTGGTCTGAGGTAGATGAATAGAAGTGGAGTGTACTCCTGATCAAGCACAGTTTGGTGACAAGAAAACTGCAGCTGGAACTTGAAAATCAATTGCATTTTTCAGGTACGGAATTTTCCATCCAATCCTCTGGTGCCCTTGACCACAGCTCCATTCCAGGCTGCTAGTGCTCCCTCTCTGGTACCCTTGAGGGAACTTCTGCAGCTCCCTGCTTACCTGGGTCCTGACCAGCTGTCTGCATGCCTGCTCAGCCTGCTGCTGGAGGTTTGCCTGGAGCTGCTGAACCTTGCACTGCTCCTCTTTCAAGCTGGCTTGCAGCTGTTCAAACTGTTTCCTTGGCACCACATTGTTCAGCTGTGCCTTGGCCTGCTGCAGCTGCAGTGCATGCTGAGTCTGAGCCAGACTCAAGCTTGCTTTGGCTTCAAAGAGCTGCAACAGAGAAAGGTTGCCAGTTACAGCATTGTGCCAGCAATAGGACAGGTTGAAGGTGTGCTGCACATAAAAGGAGGAGCTAAGCAGCACACTCAGCCTCCACCCTAGGTCTCATGTCATCATGGCCACAGCAGACCAGTAGAATCTTGACAGGTAGGTTTAACAGGCAGCCTGCAAAGCCACGGTTTGACAGTGCTGGGAGTGCAGAAGGGTGATTTGTAGCTCTCAAAGAGGGCAGTCTTTTCTGTCTGGGGAAGGTGTTCAATACAGCCCTAAGTGGGGAAACACCAACATCATAGGGACTACCCAGCTGCATGCTACCTTGTCAATGACCAAACAGCACCTACTTCCTCTTGCGATGCCTCGAGCTGTTGCCGGAGCAGCTCCATCTCTGACTGACACGCTGCATGCTGCTGGCAGTGCTCCAGCCTCATGGCCATCTCCACTCCTTGTAGTTGCTTGACTTCCATGAGCCCCTGGTTCTGCAGCTGGGTGGACCCAGTGCTGGCGCTGCAGCCGACTTCATACTCCAGGAGCTTATGGCTCAGCTTACTCACCTTGATGTTTGTCTGGGAGACATCCACATTGCTCTTTCCACTCTGTAAATAAAATAAAAACACACACAAAGGTTTGGAGTGGGAATACTAGCAGAAACTGCTGGGTCCCTACATAAGAACACTGCTGTCACCACAGGACCTTGCGTGCACCCAGGACTCATTTTCCAACCTGAACCAAGCCCCGAAGCCATGAACAGCCTCATGCTTAGGAAAGCCTACACAGATTACAACCCTGGAAGAGGTTGGTCGGGAAGGAAGAGAGGAAGTCCTAAGGTCTGACAGTAGAGCCATGTAACAGAAATATTAAGATTGGCATCAGTGCAGTATGAGTGGACTATCATAACAGAAGAAGGGCTACAAATGCAACCTCCATCAACACCAAAGGGCACCATCCCCTTGACGTTCCTGGGGCATCACACTCTCAGCAGCAATGCTGAGCAAGGTGCAGTTTCCGTGGTTAACGTGTCAGCAGGAAGCCTGCATCTACCAGCATACATCTCACGGCCCCCTCATTCCTGTTAGCTTTTCAGGAAAACAGTAACAAACATAGCTTTCTTCAAATGAAGGAAAAGTGTGCAGTGTACCTGGGCCTAAGGCTTATGGAAGCTGACTCAGCAAGGGTCAGGAAAGGACCACCCAGTTGCAGATGATGGCCTCTAGTGGAAATGCTAAGTCAGGGCTTGAAGCAGTGACTGAGCACCTGGTGGGAAGGCAGGACCACCCCCAGGGGAGCTCAGGTGCATGCAATACTCCTGAGTGACTGAAAGAGGTGGAGCCAGGATCCACCCCTTCCCAGACCTCATTTAAGGGCCAGCAGTGAAAGTAAAGTGACTGTGCTGGAGATCTCTGCCTGCTGGAAGCCTTCTGAAGGTTAGAAAATCTTTCTTCCTTTATTTCTGCATCCGTGGCTGCTGCATTTGGACTTGGTCTCTTTTACTGCAGCCTAGGATTGTGCCACCCTGCTATTATTGCAGTTATTATTATAACTCTCCATCACGTTATAGCATTACATCATTACAGACCCAAACAGTGAAGATATTTCCAGAGAAGTTGCTGTTATTAGCCAGGAAGAGTCCCAGAAAAAGGGTGAGTACTTGAAAACCTGCTATCCTCAATCACACGAGTATTCTGACCAAGCCTTTTGCACATACTTGTTCACAGGCTTGGGAGCATGAGTGTTTGAGACTGGGATTGAGTAGAAACTCAGGGAATGAGAGCGAGTGCTTAAAGCTAATCTTTTCAGAGATGTATTAAGTACCACCTTTCTCTTCTGCAAAGACTTTCACAGGCTTTTGTCACATATCTTTTCCCTCCTTTATAGTTATAAAACAAAGCAGTTTCTTCCAAGTAAGATTAGATTCGGTTGCTTGAGATAAGACGTTTGCATCCTCCCCTATAAGACCATGCAGTTTTTGTCCTCTTAAACCCCACATCCAGGAATCTGTCAGTTATTGTTAATGGCTTCTTACCGACTTCTTCAACTTTACTGCTACAGCCAGTTTTTCTACCTTCTCTCTGCTCAACTTGCTCATGTGTTTCCTGTCAGGTAGAGGGATATGATTAGCTTCATAACAGAAAGCAGCAAACACAACCTCTGTTTTGGGGACCTACGCAGCTGATCTTGGTCTGGAAAAGGAGACAAACCAGGCCAGAACAGACATGGTCCTGAATTGATTCCAGAGTGGGTGTTTCAGCTCAGGGCAGAGAGGTGGGGACACCTGAAGTCCTATAACAGTGTTAGAGACCAAAAATTCAGAGTATGAAGTACAGTGGGGAAGCCTGGTTTATGGTTGAGCAAGTGTGTGGGAACTGCTGAGTCACGGCCTGAACCTCAGACTGATCACCTGAGGCGAGCCATGAGTCAGCCACAGGAGCACAGGTGAAGGCAATTCTCCTGTGCTGCTGGAAGGGTTGGAGCCTGGCTGCACCTCTCCTAGACCTATTGAAGAGCTGGCTGCCAGTGGGGAAGGATCTCTTCTGGAGATCTGCTCTCTGGAGTTTTCTAAGTGAGCCCAGGATAGGGGTAAGCTTTCTATCTTCTTTATGTTGTTGTAATCTGTTTTGCCTAACTCTCTTGTTTACTTTGTAATTATAACATCTTAATATTCATTGATTATACACTTGGCGAGCCAGGCAGGCCAAATTTACGTCATGCCTTTTCTTTGGAATTTCTATAAATGGGTCAAGGGGGAGAACAATACCCCTCTAGAGAAAATGATTCCAGGGCAGATCCCAGGATATGTGGGATCCCCCTGTTATAAACTAGCAGTTATCATTGAAAATTGGGTCCCTTATGCGTTATGGCAATATCTCCCCATATCACATTGGCAGACTACTTTCAGGGACTTAACAAGGATGTACTGATCACTAACGAAGGACAATTGGCTGCCTCCACAATGGCATGGCCACTATTAAAACTGGGTGTTGGGTGTCTCCCACCCTGGGAGTACAAGGTGTCTATTGCCCCAGTCCAAGAATACATCCTGGGCATTGATATTCTATGGGGTCTGGCTCTCCAGACAACCGTGGGAGAGTTCAGACTTCGACAGAGGTGTATCAGTGTCTGGGCAGTGCAGGCAATATTAAGAGGCCATACAAAACATGGGCCTGTTTGCCTGCTGAAACCACGCCGCATTACTAACATGAGACAGTACAGGCTCCTGGGTGGGCAAGATGAAATATCAAGACCTGCACACAGCCCATATAACTCCCCCCTCTGGCCAGTGCGAAAGTCAGATGGCACGTGGAGAATGACAGTGGATTACAGGGCGACCAGTGGGGAAGGATCTCTTCTGGAGATCCACTCTGCTGGAGTTTTGAAAGTGAGCACAGGATACGGGTAGGCTTTCTATCTACTCTCTTTTTGTTATCATAATCTGCTTTGTCTAACTCTCTTGTTTATTTTGTAATTATGACATCTTAATATTCATTGATTATACAGCAAGAGACACCAGTATCTATCCCAAGCTTACAAAGGCAGCAGTTGACCACCGATAAAAATGTTCGTGTAAACAAGAATCTCAAGCTTTCCACACTCGGCACATCGCTGCCCCCAGTGTCTTCTCCAAATGCAGCTCTGAACCCAGTCCTCTGGCCTACCCAGCCTTTGGCTAAGCCTGATCCAGCATTGGCTGCTTTTGCATGAAGTGAAGGCGGTGAGAGTGCTGGCTTTTGGAAATGAGCAAACAAAAGGCAGCTTGGGACAGCTGAAATCAGCTGAAAATGCTAAATGCACCTGAGCAGCAGTCTCTTTCATGAATATTAGCTTTCCCCCTTTTGCCAGCCTTCCCACAGCTGGCTCCTCTCTTACTCGTCATGTCTGCTGCACTCCTCCTTAGCCTCCCTCAGCTCTTCCTGGAGTCTCCCAGGTTGACTTTTCAGCAAGCTGTTCTCCTCCAGAAGCCAGCCCTGCTCTCCCCTGCAGGGAGAGAAAGAGAAATGTGAAAAATCACACCATACAAAAAAAAAACATACAAAAGCCCAGTTTGCTGTTTGCATCTTACACAGTCTTCCTTCTCTGTTCCCATCCATGTTGTGAGGACAAGAAGAACAAAAGAATTCTGAGAAATATCCATCCCGTAGCTCAAGCAGAATGTGGAGAGAGAATCAAAGAACTGTCAAAGGTAGAGAAAGAGTAGTAAGTATTGATGGCAGGAAAACAAAAGAGAATAAGGAGAAATAGCATAAGATGCTGAATTTATGTGGCTTCCAGCTGACTAAAATCTGTTTGCAAACTTGTTGGCTTGGCCCATCACGACATACATAGACTTCATTTCAGGATAACCAGGTGGCAAACCCAACACCTGAGTGCAATAAGGCCATGTCAGGAAAAGCCAGCTTGTTTGTGACTTTACAGTGCTAGGGGTGCCAGCTATGAGACCAAATGCAAGGAAACCTCTCAGCCTCTTTGTCTTTCCTCTCCTTCTCTACTCTTAGCCTCCCACGAGGCCACAAATACTGACATCTGCTGAAAGGCAGGTAAGCCCTGTGTTAAAGAGCACAGTACTATCCAACAGTTAGTGCTAACCTCTAGATCCCTCCAGGCTCCACATTCTTCCGTAGAGAAGAGAATGGGAGAAGAGCCTATCTAGCTCAACATGGAAAACAGCACTGCAGTTTTTGTCACTCAACGTGAGAGGCAGAGGAGCTGAGCAGGGAAGTTCTTGCTCTACTCCCCAAGCAAGCAAGGAGTACTAGTGCACTGCCTAGTGTTTGCTTCCCCCTGCTTAGCAGGATACTCCACACAGCAGCCGCTCTTTGAGTCAGTTTTACATCAGGATTCACATGCTGTTCTTCCTGTGGAATCTCCAACACCCACATACAGCTGTACAAGGCAGAGGAGACAAGTGCACAGTCAGCCAGGGCCACGTGAGCACATCCCAGCTCTCTGACCACACTCCCCCAGTTAGGAAAAGATGTAGGGAACAGCAAGCCAGAACAGAGCTGCTGTCAGTGTCTTGGACCAACGTGTTAAGCAGTCCTGTGTTACACAAGACATCTGGTCTTCTTTTGCTGTCGCAGCACTCGGCTCTGCAAACTGCCTGAGTGCTCAAGGTTTGGGGATCATTTTCCAACTACTGCACAAAGTCCTTGAGCTGCATCAGCTGCAGCTTCAGTCTGTTCCTCTCCCTCTGCAGCTCCATTTTGACAGCCTGACTGTCATGTTTCCCCCTGTGCTGCTATGTTGCTCTACCTCCCTCTAGATCACATTATGTCCTGACATCCTGCTGCCTCTGCCGGGTGAAGGCAAATCTATCTTTGCTTTCTCTGTTTCCTTCCCAAGCACAGCCTCTTGTCTCTCAAGATTTTGTTTCTCCATGACAAGTGCATTCAGCTTTGGCTCCAGCTTCTGGACTGAACAGTCCATTTGCTGCAACGGACATCTGTAACAGCCTATCAAAACACCTTTCATTTCTTCTCTTTTCCTTTGATGCTGGGGTTGCAACAGGAGTTGCTGTTCTATGTCCCCAAGTCTTGGGTACATGCTCCTTTCCAATTGGAGGGCAACTCTCCAGCTACATCATCCCTTCAGTACCAGAGTCCTCAGCTTTGTGATTTGTACATTATATCCATTTCATCCTGGTGTTTTTTGTTGTTTTACCTTGTTTTCTTTCCACCCTCTTAACAGCCACCATTTGATACATCTTGACTTGCTTCCCATTTACCTTCTTTCACATCTTATCCTCCACAGGGACACTGCGTCCTTTTCCTTCTGGACCCATCCCTGCTTTTCCTGGGCACGCTGCTCCCCAGCAGCCTTTATTCACTGAGAAATTACTTCTTCTCACAGCAGTGCTGCTGCTACACTACAGCTGCCTTCACACCAAACATTCACTCCATTACTGCTTTTGATTATATTCAACCTCTGTATTTTTCCAAAAGATAACTAACATCTCTCTGACCTGGATTTGATAGCACACGTGGCAGGCACAGCTTGAAAAGCTCAACCAGCCCTGGAACACATTTTTGCTGGAGAGACGATACAGTATTCCTTAGGTTGCAAAATTACTAAATATTACAGCAAGCTCCCACACCACTGTGCCCTATAACAGAGAGCAACAGAGAAATCGTCCACCTGCATATTGTGAAAGGGGTCTCAGATGCTGAAGAGGCAGTGGAGGCACACAAAGAGACAGCAAGGCAAAAGGAAACAGGGGACAGTGGTAGGACGCACTGGGAAGCGGGACGGGGCAGGCATGAACAGTTTCCTCCACGATGTTCCTATACTTTCCTCTTTAATCCCTTTCCCAAAGCCAATCTGACCCCGAGGAAAGTTGCAGAATTGGCACCACAAGCACAGGAAAGGAGGATGATCACCTATTCACAGATTACCTTACTTTTCTGTGAGTGAGTTTGTTTTGGCCAAACAGAAAAATTTAAGCCATCTTTTGTTGCTTTTCAGACAGCAGACTGTAATGATCTAGCAAGTAGCAGCAAGTTTGCTAAAGGACCAAGAAAGAGAAATATCATATGAAAACACTGATAAAAACCATCCTGTTTCCCTCTTTGTTGTTAGGTACAGTTTTTGCTGGCACTTTCTCTGACACACCTGCACAACACTAAAGGAAAACTGAAGTCTTCAAATAAAAGCAGTCATGTAAGAGGAGTTCGGATGTCCCACTTCAGACTGCTGTATCCTCACCCTAATGCCTAGATTTTTTTTCCCCAATTGAAGAAGCTCTCCAGACTCATAAGAAATCTCCCTGGTCCATTCTGGTGCAGGCAGGGGATGTATTCACCCTCTGTCTCCTACTTAGACCCAAGAAAAGAACACCACCATACCTGAGGCTTCCTCTGTTCCTGCACTGCATTCTCAGCTCTTCTCTTTCCTGGTTCAGCTGCTGCCTTGGATGCCCTATGTCCTCAGTGTGCTGAAGTTCAACCCTGGCTGGCTCCATCTCAAACCTCTCCTCCAGCTCCAGGCTCTGCACACCTTTTCGCTCTTTCATGACATCAGTTACAACCTGGTACTTTGAAACTGTTTCTCTCAGGTCTTCTTCTTGGTCTTCTACCTTGCTCATCTCAGCCTTGATGTTCTCCTTGCTGTCCTTCTCTCTTTCAAAGTTTTTCCTCATTAGCTCCATTTCCTCCTCATAATAGTTTACCTGTTGGAAAGAAACAGTGGTTGGACATTAGTGCTGTGCTCCTGAGGGCCTCTCTCTCTTTTGGTAACTCTGACTTGAACCACCCTAATGGTTCCTCCCAGCATGGGACACTCTCAAGACATTTCTGCTCCCCAGTGAACTCAGGACAATAAACAGCTGCACACAGCAGCCTTTAAGAAGCAAATATAAATGGACCCCAGTTTTCCCAGCTGTCAGCACACCTCTCTCTTTCTCCTTGTTTGCAGCACTGGGACTCCATAGAGAAAGGAGAAGCATCGTCTCTACACTCCTACATCCTTCCTCCACCCTGCAGAGTAGCCCCTTGCCCTAGAGGTGGCGGTGAGGAGCTGCTGCTTTCCACAGCTCCCTGCAAAAAATCATAAAACCCAGGGTGGGATTAGCACAACGGAGGCAGAAGGTCTGCAAGCAGCTCTGTGCTCCTTGAACTGTCTGTCATCTGTGTGGCAGTTTAGGATTTACAGTTGCAGTGCTGCAGTGGAAACCCAGCAAGAATGCATGACCTCTAGTTCAGCAGAAAAAGAAGTGAAGGTGGAAACTGATCCCCGTTGGTCCCTTCCAACTCAGGATAATCTATCCTGCTGCTGTCTAGAGGGCTGGGCTCACACTGTCATCTTAGTGCAAGCAGGTTAAAAGTGTGCTGGAAGCACAGGGAGACAGAGCTCTGATAATTTCCATGCTCTCAGGAGGCACATTGCTGCTTCTCCTTCTGGTCCTTGTGCTGATTTTACAGGGACAATGCAAAGTAGAAATAATCTCTAGTTCCACGTAAGAAGCAAAACTCATGCAAAATTTTTGCGAGGTGACAGAGTCATTCATAAAGCTTTTGCCCACCCGTGAGGGCTCTGCATCTTCCTGACTGCTAAAATGGGCATGGGAATACAGATGTCCACCTCCATTCGCCAAGCAGCTGTGCAGAGAATTCTGGACATCAGCCCCCACAACTCACCTTGGATTCCAGCTGCATCTTCAGGTCCTGCAGCTGTTCTTGGAGCTGCTGCGTCGTGATTGACGTCTCTGCACACACAGAAATGGGAACCAGATGGTTGGGAGAGGAACACACTGGGAAAAAGATGCACTGCGAGAACAGTCTTTGGTCCACTGTCCTTGTGCTTGATACTTAGGATTGCCCCACACTCTGTGAAGTGCTGGAGTCTAATCCTCTGGCTCTCTAATCCAACTCCTGCTCAGAGAAAGACTATCACCAAAGCCAGATTCTCTCATCTATATGGCAGCTAATCCTAAGAAGTTTTTTCCTAATGCTCAGCTTGAACCTCCAACCCCACTTAATTATATTGTGTTTCTTCACCATTCTCCACAGTGAAAATCGGCCAGCTCGTTCCCAGCTGCCAAGTCCTCATGTTGCTGTCACAAGCTCACACGTTGGAACCACCTCTGTCGCTCCTTCACCATCCATCATTCCTTTCTTCCCTCGCATGGCTGCCCAGTGCCAAAACCAGGAGCAGCCACTCTACACTCCCACTACTCCCGTCAGCACAAAACCTTGCTCTTGCCAAACAAACAGAGATGCCCCAAACACCCCTGCATTTTACCTCCAGCCAGCAGCCCGCTCTCAGCCCTCTTCTCCTGCAGCTGAAGACGCAGCTCTTCCAGCTCTCTTTGCAGCACGTCATTCTGGTCCCACAGCACCTGAGGCAGAGACAGGCCATGACGCAGCTGTGAAGCTTCCCAGGACTGGGACAGAATGTTCCCAGGTTGCAGAGGGAACAAAACGAGGTGAAAAGCACCTGAGCTCTTGGGAAGCACTGCATGAAACACGTCCCACTGCCTGCTTAGAGCAGAGAGCTCCAAAGGCAGCACAGGAGTTTATCCAGTCTCACCCCACAGCAAAGAGTCTCACAGATGAACACCACGCTGAGCAATGAGCCACTTCCATGCATCTGGATCTGGGAACCCCCTTGTTTCACTTTACATTCTGAATCCCACACGGGATGCAAGAGCGCATGAGGAATCCTGTCTCCCCTCCACTTTGAACTGACATCTAGTTACATCCTATACGCTACACTATCCAGAAAATGAATGGGCTGCATAAGAATATGAGCTATGGAACTTCCACAAATCCAAACTAACGAATATTACTAAGCAGGTCTAGAAAAGAGTACACCTAGTTTGTTTAACCTCCATTCTAAACAGAAGAGCAGACAGGAGGACATAGGCTGCCAGCATTCAGGATTCAGCACCCAGCTGGGTGCCTCACATGGCAGGATGAAGCCAAAGGCATCTCCATCCAGCTGCATTTGCATCAACAACCCTGGGACAGCTCAGCCCTAGGAAGAATTACAGCTCCAAGCATCTTCAGCCCTCTGGTGCCACCTGGAGTACTGCTATATTGGATAGTGTTTCAGCATGTTTGCCTTTAGCTACAGCTTCAATAGGAGCTATCTGCTGAATCTGTCAATGGCTTTGCTGCAAATGCACAGATTTTAGCAAATCTCTGAAGAGATTTGGCAAGTCACCATCTCTACCTGGTGGTGCTCTACAATCACTCATAGCACTTGGAAACACAGACAGTGCAATAAGTACAGGACACTGCACAATCAGGAGCCAACACAGAGAACACCCAGCCATGCAAAACATGCAAGAGACACACATTGCTTAGAAACCATAGAAAGGTGACAGAGGCTGTGCTCACATCCCAGAGAGCCAAAGCTCTGGGCTGCAGCACAGTGCTGAGAAGGAGGTGCAACACACAGAACACCAATGCCAGGACCGTGGATAGGCTTACCTTGACTCTCTGTCACAGCCCAGTAATTTTGTAGGGGTTGTGAAGGGGGGAACAGAAAAAGAAAGGGAAAAACAAAAGAAGAATTTGGCTGATGGTATGCATTCCAAAGGAGCACAGCTTTCTCTTCCCATTCAAGAGAAAATACCTTACAGCAGAGCCTGGAGTGGTCTGCCTGTATATAAGGAACTACATGATTCCCACACAAAACAGTCCACGGCTACAGGGTAGCAGGAAGGGTGAAATTTGCAACCTACCCCCTATTCCCCTCAACCTGGCAGGGGAACCAACACACAGTTGTGCTCCCACAGCTGTGGGAGCAAGGCATTAGGTTCCTTTACTAGGGGCATAGCTGTGTCCTGCCTCCTGCCAAAGGATGCTGAGCAAGGCAAGAAGGAAAACCACTCCTTCACACTTTGTTCACCACTGCCCCATTCCTCTGCCCCAGACTGCAGCACCCAACAGATGTGCAGATGACAGCTGTATGCATCACGACAGCATTGCTGAAGAGCTGCCCACTGGTACCTGGCATTGCCGCTCGTATTCCAGCACAATCTCTGCAAAGTATTTGCCATGGTTCAGGAGCTCTGGGTTGCGGGGCTCCTCCTGGTCCAGCTGCACAAGCACAGGGAAACACTGCTCATCAAGGAAATTGTCATCTCTCCAACTGGAGAGACAGAAGCTCTACAAAATCACTGGAGTCACAGTCCTAAAGCCCTAGATTCAGAAGAAAGGTTCCTATTGATGCCAGTGGGATGGGTCAAGTGCAGAAAGAGGGGAAAGAACATCTTTCTTCTTAAGACAGAGATACCTAACTGCAGACAGCCTGGCTTCCCCAAACCAGCTACCAAGAACGCTGACTCATTTATTTCCCAGATCCACTTCATGCTCTTCACTGGAGTGGAAACGTCAGCTACTACTAATAACAAGAACAAACCCTTTATTCAATACCTGTTAAGATGAAATTTTTTTGAACATCTAATTTTCACTTGGAAATCACAGATTTGTATAGTTTTCTATACTTGCAAATTTCCTCCTTTCAAGCTCTGAAAGGCCTAAATTAAAACAGTAATTCTTTTTTCCAGGTTGTCATTAATATGCAGGAGAATTCAAAAGTGGGGTGGGGGGGGTAACACAACAACTAAGCTGTAATAAGCCAAATTTCAAAAAAAAAAAGATTAACCTTTTGAAGAATTCTTCAGAAGACTTAACCACAACACAGAAACAAAGGCTACCTTGTCCTTCACAACGAGGTTGAGCTCTTTCTGAAGCTCCAACACCAGCGTCTCAGAGGCGGTCAGTTTCTCACCCATCTCCATGACTTTGTTTTGCAGCTGTGTGTTCTCCTGCAGTAGAAGCAGAGAAGATTCTCTTTGCGTTGTGGGTCCTCAGTTTATCAGTTTTGGACCTCCAGTGGGCAGCTGCAGAACTACTAGCACATCAGCACTGTGATCGCAGCACTGCTCACAGGAAATCCCACTTTGGGCAGGACAGTGGCATGCCACATGGGCTGGGGATTGGCTCATCTCTCCAAACAACAGACAGAAGCATAGGCTTTATAGAATAAGAGCTAGACAGCCCTGTAGGCTTGTCTGTACCTCTGCTTCACAAAACTACCTGTCTGTGCTAGTTGTTGAGAAGAAGGAGACCTCCCTGATCAACCCAGTCACTTTCAGTGATGGTATATCTACATCAACAGAAGCCACTGAGGAGATTTGGTAGAGGCCTTTCAGTATCTAAAATGGGGCTATAATAAAGAAGGGGGGGGACTCTTCAGTAGATTCTGCTGTGACAGGACAAGGGGAAATGGCTTCAAAGTAGAAGAGGGGAGATTTAGATTGGATAAAAGAAAAAAGCCTTTTTTTTTTTTTTTACAGTGAGGATAATGAAACACTGGCACAGGTTGCCCAGAGATATGGTAGATATCCCATCCTTGGAGGTCAGGCAGAACTGGGTGTTGTGCTCTGAGCAATCTGATCCAGCTCCAGCCCTGCAGATATCCCCATTCATTGAGGGGAGTTGGATGAGACAACCTTTAAAGGTCCCAAACAAATCGAATTATTCTAAGATAATATTCAGGCACAGGGACACCTTTGTCTCTACTACTATATGCTCCTTCATACAATTTTAGCCTCAGACATCAGTTCAGGTGTCGCTAAGGGCCAAATCATTCTCAACAGACTACAAGAGGGTTCAATAATGTCCTGGCCAGCAAATAAGATCCTTATTTTAATTGTGTAGTATGGATGTGACTCACAACTTCTCCATAAAATCCTGCCCTTCCTAGCAAAAGCAAGACAAGTTATCCAGCCTCGTCACCACTTCTCCTTTGATTCCTCTGAAAGAGTGAAAACATTTAATTCAGGACAGTTTCACTTACCTTCATCATGAGGTTCAGTCTCCCATGAAGGGTGGCCTCTTTGCCCTGGAGGAACTGTGCATCAGCCTCCAGCTTCACTTGATGGTTGATGGCTTGCTGCAAAAGCAGCTCTTTTGCCTCCACTTCAGCCCGAACATCCCTGGAACAGATAAGCAACATGTCTGGGGGCAGCTGAAACTTATTCTCAGATTACTGTGAGGTCCAGGCATCCATGCTCACCCCACAAAAAGAAGAAGAGAAGAACTTGTTTGGAGAGATACTGGAAGCATAAGTGAAGTGCACACAAGTTAAGGGGTCTTTAGGGACTTCTCTGCCACTCACACAATGTCCAAACAAGTGAGAGATTCAGAAAGGGAGACTGGCACAGGAAGTAGAGGCAGCGGGCACTCACAGGAAAACCATTTTCCCTGTTCAACCAAAAGAACCCTTCCTACTTGAGCTTGCTCTGGCTATGCTTGAGGGCGATGTATTGCTTGTCCAGCTCCCTGCTGAGCTGCAGGCAGTGTCTCTCTGCTTTCTCTAAGTCCAGTCTGGCCTTGTCCCTCTCCCTGGAGATTTGCCTCACCTGGCTTCTGCAGGCACAGTAAGCAGTGCATTCAGAGACACCTCTTGCAGTCCAGTGTAGGCCCTCTACCCCACATGTGAAGCAGCATCCTTACTTGAGACACTGGAGTTTGTATGCATAGGAGGTGATGGCTGCATGCTGAAGCCCACTCCTTGAGACCATGAGTGTGCTGTCCAAGGCTGCAGGCAGCTCTACTGGGCTCCTCTGTGCTGCTAATCAGTTTCTGAAACAGAAGCACTGAGTGAAATCTCTTCCTCTCTTCCAACAACACTTCCATGGTTACACCAGCTGACTGCTCTCAAGAGACAGCCTCCCATTTCAAAAAGAGCCCCAGTTAACATCCACCCCAGACTTTCCCCATCCCTGGGATGGCCAAAGCTCACCCTCCCATTACAAACCTGCCCACGAGCACTTCTTCCACCCCAGAGAGACACTTGCTAGAAGGTCTCGTTCCTCACTTCACCTGCCACCACCAGACATGGTAATGCTGAGCACCTTGAGGATCTGCTGAGTTCTTCCAGGGCTCAGATGGCAATGACAAATTCAGGCTTGGCAAATCTAGTGCAGTTGCTGGTGAGGAGACGTGGGCTTACGTAGCTTGGCAGGAAGGATGGACTCCTCTGCTTGCACTCCTCTGACACCAAGAAAAAAAGCAACAGAGTTAAGTCAGTGAGGCAAAATTGGCAGAGAAAAACTGATATCTTTCAAAATCAAAATTCCAGGGATTCCACTGATATTGGATCAAGTTCTAATAACGACATCAAGCTGCCAGAAGTTAGCTTGGAGATGTCATAAGCCACCTCTAAGGCAGCCATAAGAAGACAGCTGGAAGCCACAGACCAACCACTTTGGTCTCCCTGCTAACCGATGAAAAGTCAGTGTCCAAAGAAAGACCAACTCTGAAAGTTATACAGCATTAGAGGGTCATCTGAAAGCTGTTAAGACAGCTGATACTTGTTTGAACTAGAAGCTAAAATTGGGCTGAGGTCAGCTTAGCCCTTCCTGCCTCAAAGCTAAGTGAGATTCAGCCAAGTTGACTCAAAAGAACTTGAATGCCAGAAAGTCAACACAGAGTTGGTAACACCCCCAAGAACACCACTTTCATTTCAGGTTTGGAGGAAGCCTTTCCTTTTCCACTTTAGTGCATTAAAACACTTCAAATGCATTTGCAACTGCTTTGTCAGTTCTTGGGATTAAAAGTGCCATGAAGAAATCATTACACCAAACAAGGAAAACACGGATGAACTAAAGAGGGTGACAACCTCAGTTAAGATGAGCAGTAACGTGTTTCTGAAGCCAATATTAGAATTGGGGTGATTTTTTCCCTTTTATTTTGTTCCCCAGTAAAGAGACAAGACTTAACAGCTCTCTTTCCTTCTGCACTATTGTCTCACCCCACCTGCACAGGATTTGCTCCCACTTCTACTCAAGTGGCTCCCAAGAGGGTCATTCAGACACTACACAAGGGCCCAGACCATCTCTACAAGGAACAAGCAGAGAACTCTCTCCAACTCACCACACCAAGTGACGTCTATTAAATCAGCCCCCTGTGAAAAACAGTATCTTCATCTGAATTGTCCTCAGTAGAACCCATTCTTTAGCAATTTTGTTTTATGTTTGGGTGAGGGGAAACAGAGATGTGATGGCTGGACTTGTGTCTGGATTCCCTTCAGAATGTTGCAGAAACATCAGACAGAAATGAACTATGTATGGCAATGACTTACAGCTCCTTAATCAAAGCTAATGGAGGTCACCTCTGAGAAGCTGCAGATCAAGGCCACGAATCAGGATCTTTTTCTGCCTTTCAGCTCACCACATGATGTGCTAACAGCCTCAGTTGCTTTAGGGATCTCAGTGTACTCAGGAAAAAGAACGTCGTGTGGCTGAGCAAACCAATCTGCAGCTCCTCAGAGCTCACCCTGCAGCGCCCAGCCTCGTTTGATTTAGTGAATACATCTTTGGGCTCCTAAAGGAGGATGACAGGAACTCACCAGCCGCAGGAACACAGCTGAGAGCAGCCGATCAGGGTTTTAAAATAGCTCCCCTCCTGGTTTTTTCGAGGCAGCTTCAAGCTGTTCCCGCAGATTCTAACGCAGAGAGAAGAGAACAGCACCAGACCGCTGCTAAAAAGAGAAAAGACAGAAAATACCCGACTTACCGCCCCACGGCGCATGCGCACAGCTCACTACGCCACTCTCCTGCCGCGCATGCGCACGCCTCCCATCTCTACCCGCTCTGCCGTCACGCATGCGCGACGTTCTCAACCACCCCGACGTGTATGCACACGCCTCTCCCCACCTCTTCCGCCCGCCCACCATGCATGCACTCACCGCTTCCGTCGGGATTCCCGCGCATGCGCAGCGGCCTGTGCTCTGGGTGTGTGGCGGCCGCGCCATCGTCGTCGCGTGCGGGTAGGGCGGTGGGAAGGCCTGACTGAGCCATGTCGGGGTCCGCGGGCTCCGGCGGCACCACCGGCTCGGCGAGGAAGCGGATCATGAAGGAGGAAGACATGACGAAGGTGGAGTTCGAGACGAGCGAAGAGGTGGACGTGACGCCCACTTTCGACACCATGGGGCTGCGGGAGGACCTGCTGCGCGGCATTTACGCCTACGGTGCGCGGCGGGGCGGCGGCGGGAGGGGGAGGGAGCGGGGGTGAAGGAAATGGCGGCGGCGAGGGGCGGCGCGCATGCGCGGCGGCGCGCCGTAACGGCCGTGTCCCCACAGGGTTCGAGAAGCCGTCGGCCATCCAGCAGAGAGCCATCAAGCAGATCATCAAGGGCCGCGACGTGATCGCGCAGTACGTGGGCGGGGGGGCGGGCTGCGGGAGCGGGATGGGTGGCTCCTCCGGAACGGCGGAGCCTTCACCGCACCTCTGTTCTCAGGTCACAGTCGGGAACGGGGAAAACAGCGACGTTCTCCATCTCTGTGCTACAGTGTCTGGACATACAGGTAGTCCACGCGGTGAAAATGTTCTTTGTCTTTACTGTGAGAGTGGTGAGACGCTGGCACAGGCTGCCCAGAGGCTGTGGATGCTCCTCCCTGCAGGCTTTCATGGCCAGGCTGCACGGGGCTGTGAGCAGCCTGGTCTAGAGGGAGGTGTCCCTGCCTATAGCAGGGGGTTGGAACGAGGTGGACTTGAAGGTCCCTTCCAACACAAACCATTCTATGTTTCTGTGATTGCTTTCATTGGAGGGCTGAATTGATTTCTCACCAGTCAGAATTGTGCTCTTGGAGCCTCTTGGATCCATCTGAACAGCTGGCACAAATTGTGTGGTCAGACACAGGCTTCTGACTGACGAGCGTTTGACAGGCACAGTGTTCTGAACAAGAAGATCAGCTGTTCTCAGCAATTGGATGAATAAAACAAGCTGTCCAGTGAAGAGCTGCTCAAGCACAGTCTTGTAACTTAACGTAAGGGCTATAAACATGTAAGCAGTCCATGGAGGTACAGCTTTCTAGGTGTACCAATGCTTGCAAACCCATACGTTTTAGCACAAAATTGTACAATTGATTCTTCAGGTGTGACAGTTCAGGGTGCTGTGGGCTCTATTCTGTTTGTTACTGCTTGCACTGTACTTGCTATGTGATTAACTGCCATGTGGTCAACAGGTTCGTGAGACCCAGGCATTGATCTTAGCACCAACTCGAGAGCTGGCTGTGCAGATTCAAAAGGTAGGAACACCTAAATCATTGCCTGTAAAGCATTTATAAGGACTGGTGCAGATTCTCAAAGCATTCTCTGGCAGAGCTAGAAGTGCAACTTCTGCTTTTCAAGAGAATGCGTTTTCCTGAATGGAATAAGAAATCCTAATGAAGGGCTGTTTTTCCCATCTGTGTTATATCCATTCTTCCTTACATGACGGGTTAATTAGCAGTCTAATGTTTTACATATTCCTACCTGAATTTCTAAGTACAGTACTCTTTAAAAGTTGTGATCCCTGGGAAGTAACCAGATCCCCAGCCTTTGTAAGCCTGCCATTGAGGAGGTTTGGAGAACAACAGAAAAAATCGTTATGCTTTTATCTCTAGAAAAGCACCACGTGGCTATTCAGCCCAACATGACTTGATAAATAACAAATTTCATAAGACCTCAGATGATTGATCTATTATTTATGTCAAAATAGGGTCTTCTTGCTCTGGGAGACTACATGAATGTCCAGTGTCACGCCTGCATCGGGGGGACCAACGTGGGTGAAGATATCCGAAAGCTGGATTACGGGCAGCATGTTGTTGCTGGCACTCCAGGCCGAGTGTTTGGTAAGATCAGGGAGGCTGCATGCTTCTGTGTTCTTGCTTCAATTGAACCGTGGGACGAACCCACAGATTTAATGCATTTAGATTTGAAATAGCATGGAAACTACATTTATCGTTAATGTATGCAGTGATGAAGAGCAACAAAGTATAAATTTACTGTAGTAGCACCTGGAAGAGATGAGAAAGAAAACACTGGGGAAAGAATTAGAATTTTCTGTTTATGCTTTGCTTTTCATAACAAAGTGGTTCTTTACATTGTAGCATAGAAAACAATATTTTTAATGGTGGTAATATTGCAATCCCGGGATTATCTCAGTGTCATGGAAGAGAGAGGAGCTGGGTCTGTTTGAGTGTCAAAACAGGAGACATAGAATGCCTGTGTAAAAAGTCTGTCCCTTTCCTGCATATAAACTCCCTTACACTACTGCAAGGCTGCAGTGAGGCTTCCTGGAGCCTCCTCTTCTGTGTCCACTTCCTTATAGTCAACTAAATAGTCCAGTCTTCAAATCCATCTCTCTCCCATGTAGGGATAAATATTAGGCCCATATGTTCACTGTACTGACCCTCATTAGCTCTTTGTCAAATCGTGCAACTTTATTATCTAGTTTCACATCATGAAAATTTTCATATTTACTGTTCCTGGCAGTTGGTACAGGCGGAGAATCAGCCTTCAAGCCCATAAGTTATGGATTTATGAAACAGAGTAGTACTTTGTTATATGAATACATACTACTGGGAGAACACTAGTCTCCATAGACAAAAATAACTAACAGCAACAACCACAAAGCAACTTCATGGCTGCCAAACTGGGTGGCTCTGAACAACTCTTAGAGCAAATAGTTCTGTCACAGGATGAAGGAATTACACAGAGCCATGTGCTCCTTCAAACAGGAGGTAGATTTGCCCACTGGACACGAAATTGAGGTGGCGCATTGCATTGCTGGCATCCAGCTGCAGTTCTGTGTGAGATGATGCACTTGCATGCAGTTAGCAAATAATATCCCACAGCTCGGACTCAGCTTCCCTGTAGCCTGTGCTTCCTTATCTGGGCAGCAGAAACAAGCCCCTGCTTGCAGGGTATTGGGGAACACTGTGGCACTTGACTGTGCTTTTCCATCACCAAACACCAGTCTCTGTTGGCAGCAGGGGAAGTGCCAGTCCCTCCTCCAGTGAAATGCACTGACAGCAGCTGGGAGCAATGTAGGCTCGCTTGCTTTCTGAGCCTTTTCATCTTACAAAGTGAAATCTTACAGATATGATCCGGCGACGAAGTTTAAGGACTCGTGCTATCAAAATGCTGGTTTTGGATGAAGCAGATGAAATGCTCAACAAAGGTGAAATATTTATCTCCTTTGTACTTCTCTTTGCTCACCTCTTTGATATCATCCCAGTTAGTAGTCCTGCTTCTTAAAACAGCTGTTTAACCAAAGCTAGGCAAGCACAGTTACATTATGGACTGTAGGAAGCAATTTAATACAATTTGCCTAATTCAGTAATCATGTTCTTTTCAGTAGTTATAAATTCTGGAGTGTTGCTTTTTGTACTGTACTGTGCAACACAGCCATGTCACGGTAAGTCTGGCAGAACTGGGGAGAGATAAATGAGGGGTGACACTGGCTGTATGGTAAAAACACTCTGTTATTCTTAGAGCATAGGCCCAATGCTGAAGTAATCTAATTCTAAACTGAAATAAAAGGATATTCAGGAGAAAGATGTGCTAACTTCCCAATGCTACTTGATTTCCTTTTGCAGGTTTCAAGGAGCAGATTTATGATGTGTACAGATATCTACCTCCAGCTACACAGGTGGTGCTGATCAGTGCCACTTTGCCTCATGAAATTCTGGAGATGACCAACAAATTCATGACAGACCCCATTCGCATCTTGGTGAAACGGTGAGTTTTTCTGGGAAGAGCAATTCTTGTCTTAATCACGTTCCTTCTCAGCATTGCAGTTGGAGTAGGTATTTACAGACATCCTCATGTTGCACTTTGAGAAAGGCCAGATTGGTTCTCTGGCTTTATCCTTCTCCATTTCTGTTTGCTGCTGCTCAGCCCGACTTCCCTCATCCTCCCAAGTACAATCTCTTCTGGAAATCTGTCTTTCATTCCTACCCAATTCCTGTGCTTCTCCGTTAGACTTTTGTAGGTGCCTTCCACTGATACCATAGAGTATGGCTAGAAAGCTTAACGCTGATTGATCCTGAAGGCCCTAGGTACACAGCTTATGTCTAGCATTGCAACAGGTCCTTACGTGCTGCATCTCATCAGGTGTCAAAGAAGTAAGCGTAGGCAGCCTGACTGGAAAGGCCTCACCCCTGCTTGGTCTCTTACAATTGCCCCAGTTACCTCACTACACTCTGTTCTTGTCAGGATGTTTGCAAGAGTGAAAACAGAAATGTTTCCCTTCAAAGTTGTCTGCCTAGAGCAGAGAAGGTGCTAAGTTTGAGCCTCTGCTGTGTGGCTCATGCCTGAAGCCTTTCTTAGAGCAGTCTTCTACAGGGACTTCATAGAGTAACTTGAGACCCAGCAATCCAGAGCACTTGAGACAGACATGTGAGCATCCAGCCCTTTTAGCTGAATTGTATGCATTCACCCACTTGCAGTGTCTTAAAGCTGTTCTTCTTTCCTAAAGTGATGAATTGACCCTTGAAGGAATCAAGCAGTTTTTTGTGGCTGTGGAGAGGGAAGAATGGAAGTTCGACACCTTGTGCGATCTCTACGACACGCTCACTATCACCCAGGCTGTCATCTTCTGTAACACCAAGAGAAAGGTACAGCAGCCACGAGGTGGGCACGTTATCTCACTTGCAGAGGGCAACACAGAAGAAAATGCTGGGCCGAGCCAAAGTGTCTGGTTGTTTCCCTGGTTGACAATTGCCTAGTAAGAACAGCAGTTAAATGTGTCTTTAGGAGATGCCTGATGTAGACAGCAAGCTACAGGCAGACCTGATGTAGTTGGCAGTAACTGCCTTTTTAGACTAGTAGGACTGATAAGAACGCGCTTATTAATTGTAATTCCCAAAACAAAATCACTCTGAATGAATGCCTTTAATTCCTTTCCTTTCAGGGTTCATGGAACCCTGTCATTTAGGTGATGCCCTGCAAGGACTATTTGGTTCCTTCTGCTCCAAAACACTTGTTAAAGTCTCTCTCAGTCCTTACTAGCATATATGTGCAAACATTCTCCAAACAGAACTAACACTTTCGGCTGGCATGAGCAGATTGCTAACCCAGGCTGCTTGGCTGTACACACAGGTAGACTGGCTCACAGAGAAAATGAGAGAAGCCAACTTCACCGTTTCATCCATGCATGGGGACATGCCACAGAAGGAGAGAGAGTCCATCATGAAAGAATTCAGATCTGGTGCAAGGTAAGTGATTTCAACAGCGTTGCTTACAGTATTGCTACATAAGGCAAGAGGTCTTCCAGTGCCTCAGAGGAAACAGTCTTAGAAGCCTTTAAATCCTCTCTTCTCTCAAGGGCTTGTTTCTGGTTTAGTTTGAAAATCAGAATTGATTTCCCTCCATCCCTTTGTAGTGTCTCAGAGATGGGAGATGTCCACCATCCAAGAAGGGATGCTCGTACTTTTAGGCATAGAATTATCCCATTGTGTTTTGCTGAGGAGACTGGGAGTTGGTACATTTAGAATAAGGAATTAAAATGTGAGACCAGAGCTGGCTTTGCACCATCTCATCAGAGAGGTTTGGTGGTTCTGTGGGACCAGATTTCCTAGCAGCACACTTGTGGAAGTGCACTGGGGAGAGCAGAATAGCAGATGTTTCCAGCACTGGGCAGCCTGACTCCTCAGCTCACATCTGTGCTTAGTGACCGTCCCCTTCTCTTTGCAGCCGAGTCCTTATTTCAACAGATGTTTGGGCTAGAGGTCTGGATGTGCCTCAGGTATCTCTGATCATTAATTACGACTTACCCAACAACAGAGAACTGTACATACACAGGTAAGCTTGGCGTTCACAGTAAGGAACACGGCTGAGTGACCCTTACCCACGGTGGCTTCATTGTTTCTCCTGCCTCTCAGAATTGGCCGCTCAGGCCGTTACGGCCGAAAAGGTGTAGCTATCAACTTTGTGAAGAACGACGACATCCGCATCCTGAGAGACATTGAGCAGTACTACTCCACCCAGATAGACGAGATGCCCATGAACGGTGAGTGCAGGCCTGCCCCAAGCTGCTGCCCTCCTCTGCTTGGAGGTTGGTGCGCTGCATCTGAAAGAGCGTGCTTTGTTCTGCACGCTTTGTTCCCAACCACAACCCCTCTTCTCCTTCCCCTGGAGAGAAGCCCAGCAGTACATGCATTTTCCGACTGGGCTGCAGTTCTCAGCACACTTGGTGCATACTTACATTTTCTTCTTTTCAGTTGCTGATCTTATCTGAAGGCCCGCATGAGTTGGACTCATCATACCTTGTCCTTAGCCTCCATAATTGTGTTTTGGACCCCCCTCCATTTGTCATACTGCTGGTCGTATGTTCTTGAGTTGGGGTTGCAGTTGGGAACTTGTGTAAATAATGTCTTTTCTCCTGCCCACGTTTTTCAATAAAAGTGAAATTTTACCATATCCTGTGCCTCATTACTTTAACCCACAATAGTAACAGGCAGAGTTTTGAGATACTGCCATAAAATACAGTTTCCCATTCTCCACCCCTTATAATTGCTGCACTACCATTGCATCACATATCTGCTGGTTCAGACCCTCCCCTGCAGACACCAGTACTGACCTTGAATACTGGGTATTGGACAGGTTATTGTCTCAAGGCCTTTTTAGTCTCCACACAATTCAGATGGGTCTCAGTGGCCCTTAGAGTCTCTGTAACAAGGTTTGGTCCCTCTAGCTGCCTCAGGGAGAACAACGTGTACATCCACCCCAAACCTAGGGCTGCTTCAGTACCCCAGCAGGTTTACCTATTGCTGGCTAATCCAGATTCATATACAGACGTGCATCCTGACTCTGCAGTGGCTGGCTCTTGCTTCCCACGTACTCATTCTCAACACAGTCCCTGTGTCAAGTTCCCTAGTGCAGTTGCTGGCACTTCAGTCGCACTGCAGTTCCAAAAAAAAAAAAACAAAAAAACCTTGATCCCTTGCTCTTCCTGCCTTTGGATCCTCCCAAAATCATCCCACAGCAAATTTGCACAAATCCCAAATGCTCTTTCCTGTGTCAGTATCCTAAACCTTCAGTACTAGAAACAGCAGAGGAAGGATGAAGATGACAATTACCCCTCCTATTCTCTGTGTCCTTGCATTGTAGCTTGCTTTGTAGCTTCTTGGGGCAGGGTCTATAACTTCTCTCCCCATCCCACCACATGCCCACCTTTATAACCACCAATCCTCCTGCCAGGAGAATGGTAGAGGCTGGATCAAGACTTCCAGCCTGACAGTCACACTCATAGAGTTCTGCTCTCACCATCACTGCAGGGCATGGCCGAGCCTCCGATCTGACCCTCAGATCTGTTCTCCAGGAGGGTACAAAGCAAGTGTGGCACTCCAAGCCACCTTTGTGATTTCTCAGTTTTTTGACCAAGAAGAAAAACAGATTCAGCACAAGAGCAATAGATTGTTTAAATAACAGTATTTAATCTGTACAGTTTGAGAGAAGATAGCATAAAATGCAACATTCCTACCTCATCTTCAGCATCATTCACCTGGAGCTGAGCCCTAATCTCTGGAGGACAGGTAACAACCACCAACCCCTAGCAGCTCCGTAGGGTACAAAAGTCACAGTGCAATTGCTTTAAACAAGTAAGTTTCCCTCCCTGTGAGAGGGGAGCCTGACGCAGCTCAAACATTGATGGAAATTTGTACTACTTCGGAATGAAGAAATAATAAAATACAAGCTATTGCACACAGTCATTTTCCAGCTGAAACTACAGCAGTTAGTTAACTGTTTAGCTGCCCTTATGCTCCGCACTTCTGAAAACACCTTAGTCGATGCTTAGTCAAGTGAAAACAGGGCCTGTAACGAGATTTCAGAGTGATACAGTTGTTGAAGGGCAGAAGCTGACAAACAACTCGGTAAAGTCAAGAAGCGTGCTTCAGAAGAGCAGAAAGTTTTCCTAACCAGGGAGGGGATAGGACCTAGACAGATGTCATCTTTCAGAGACGAGCAGGAAAGAAACATCAGCTTCAAGAGAAAGCCATGAAGTACAATAGACAATTTCTTTATATAATTGTCAGGATAAGTATTTGACATAGTTTATGTAGTAGAATACATACTTAAACATCTTTTAAAAATAAGCACGAATTTCATTTCATATATACACAACTGATTTTAATCATGTACTGAAAATAAATTACAGGAAATAACTTTAAAATGCAACAGAAGACAAGAGTTTCACAACAAACATTCCCACTGATTTTCCCAAGGGGGTGAGATTGCAGTGCTCAAGGCAGGTAAATATCACAAATATATCAAAAAACTTCAAATTGTTGATGCATTCACACATTTACATGAGCCACAAACATTCCCTTACAGGGACTGCACTTAGCTACCACAGAACCAGGTTTTGCCATAAACTACAAAACTTTGATACAAAATCGTATTTATATATTTATATTTCATATACATGCCCTATCTGTGATTTCTTAAAAAATAAAAACTAAACACACTGTACAGACAATCCTAACTCATCGCTTGGTAGCTGTAGGCAACATTTTTCAATGGAATTTCTTCCCCCAGTAGAATTAATGGCAATATTATATACATGAAGGCTAAACTGCAGAAAAAAAACAGCTCAGTTCTGATATGCACCTCCCTCTGGACCAGGTCTGCGAGTTCAAGGCAAGACACCAGATGCTCAGACCCACTGCCTCCCTTACGAGCTATTCTGCCATCAGCAGTGTGAGGAACCAACATACATGTTTGTGTAACACTGGTATAAAAGGCAGTAAAGCAGGATGCATATCTAACATAGTGGCTCTAATAGCTTCACCAACTCCATACACAGAAACATTCTGGCCTTAGAGGTGGCCAAGGGGTGTTGTAGAGCTCGGTACACCTGGGGACAGCACAGCACCCCTTACAAGGTCTGATCCTTACTTCCCTGAAGTTATCTCCTGCAGAGGACAGGCTCCCACCGTAAGCCAGACACTGCATCAACTCAAACACTGGGGGGAAGATCCCTCCCTCCCCCTCACACACCCCAAAACGCACACATGCACGGTTCACCAGGACTATGCTTAAAAACACACCCCTCCCACCCACCCCCAGTCTCCAATGGCACCGGTTTGTCTCAGAAGCAGAGCACTTGACAAACTTACTCTCCCCAGGTGATGGCAGCAGTCTGCGAAGCCAGTCACACTAAACTACTTCTACAGTTGATTGTAAACTTTGGTTTATTTTTATTTTTTTTTTTTTATTGAGTTCTCATGGTACAGCAAGCATGTCTAGGATGAGAGGGCAGAGTTGAAGAGGAGATGTACTGTCAGTCTGTCTTTAGTCTGGCATGGTGAGACACCTGCTCGGTCAGGCCTGCTTTGATAGAGTTTCTAACAGACTGCCTCATATGATCCTCCACCAAATTATCACTCATGGGCTTCAACACCTGTGGAATGAGAAACGTGCAGAAACAAAAAAATGAGGTAACCAAAGAAAATAAAATATAAAAAAAACATACAAAAAGATGAGACTTGAAATAATGGAAAAATGTGGAATGCTGAAGCCTGACACAAACTGGCATGAACTGAAATAGATGAGTTTCGCTGCTACACTAATGAGGTTAAATCAGTCACATGCTATGAACACAAGTGATATCCCTCCTACACAGCAGTATTTCTCTGAATTCAAACCACTTTACAGTTCCTAGAAGGTGGATGTGCAATTCCATACCCTATATGCAGCATCAGTCTGGTATGGTTACAGCATTTATGCAGACCGGCCCAGACGGTCCAGCTTATTGTCCTATATGTGTAAGTTGTGAACACTTCAGATACAGAAAGAAAGTTAAAAACACTGGCTAGTTTTTCTTCTTGTTATTGTTGGATGGGAGTCGCTGTCGCGGCACTGATGTAAGAGCACGGCGAATTGTTCGGCATCTAAGGACTTCAAAGAGTTTGAAAAACACCTAGAACATGAATTGAGCTGTTAGGAAACGTGGCTCTCAGAAGGCAGCAGATAAAGTCAGTTAAGTTCAGAAAAATCTGATTGCCAGCAACTTCTTACCTTCCTGGGATTCCTCTGAAGCATGGAGGGAAAAGAAAGAAAAATCAATGGAAAGAATATGGGACATACAGAGAGTGACTCAGACCAGGACCAATAAATGCTCTGCCTGTTATCTGTGATGTAGAATAACAACAGAAAGAGCAAACTCCTTTGGAGAACACCTTCCTCTAGCCCACAAAAGCTCCTGCTGCCGTAAACCACGTTCTTCCCCTCCTCAAGGAAGGCCAGTGATCAAACTAAACCCACATGCTCTAGGTATCCTCCAGCAGAACTGCTCTCACAGGGAGCAGTGCACAACCAGCTGACACCCTCCACTTTTCCTGCTCCAAGCTCAAAAGCAAGAAGCTACAGTGGTACAGAAGAGCCTCAATTTTAACCACTAATCAAGCAGTGTAACTCAATTTAGTGTATTTTCTCATTTCCTTCCTTTTATTAGAAATCCACTTTTTCTCTCCAGTTATTTCAGAGTAATTCATTATCCTACACAGCTGCCAGAGACAGGTTGAGTATACCAGTGCCTACAAAAAGCCTGGAATAAAGTTATTTGAGATGTACAAGACTGCATCTGCATAGGAAGCTCCAGTTATTTGTTTGTGCTGAGCAGGACCTATTTTAGCATCATCCTGGGTCAATTCAGTCAGCCCTTTTAACTGGTAGTAACAACAGCTCTAAAAGCACTTCCCTTTTGTTGGCATCTAATATAGCTACTAGAAATGTTCCAAAAGCTACTTGGAAGAGTTGATCAGTTGGTCAAGATCTTCACACTGGCTGTACTGGGATAGCTATGTCAACTGGATTCAGACAAAAGATCTTTGTACAGATGCCTTTGGTACTGTTGACACTCAAGTCTTCTCGTTTTTGTCTAACAAGCATCACAGTAACCATGCTATCTGAAGTATCACACACAGCACAAGTTTTCCAGGAAGAGGAAGGAACTTGGTGTACAACAACTACTGCAAGTCTGTCTGGTCACCCACCAGCCATTTTCCTTCAGGTCTAATTAATCCTTCAGAGACACACCATTTGGTGAAATGCAAAGGACAGCACTGTTTTTAACATCCACATTTCTTAAACCATTGGAAATATTTTACCCAGCTCATCCACAATGCAGGCCTGCCACTTTAAACTTACCTTTAAAAGCACAATTTTTCCGCTTCAAGAAGTAGTAAGATTTTTTAAGAGTCCCTCCACTCTTACCATTCAAGCATCTAGTAAGGCCTGTAACATTCCTGGGCTAGCATTGCCTGTACACTCTCCTGCTAAAGAGATCAGTCACATTTCTAAGCTAATTTTCCCTTCAGCAAAATTAGCATTCTTTATTAAGTCTACACCAGCTTTTCACTCACAGCACTGAACAGAAACTATTTTGTATGTTTGCTCAAAAAAAGATTTGTCATTAAAATAGATACCAACCTGTTCCCATATAGCTTCAGCGATCTGATCAATGGCTGTTCCAACTTCTCTGAATTCCCCAGAGTACTTAACGTATGCCCACGTACAAAAGGATATAAGAGCCATCCCCAGCACAAGATTACACAGGGTAGCTATGGAGTTCATACCAAGGAACCCAGTCAGTCCTGAGATTATATACATGGCAAACATGACTGCAAATAGAGTGGCAGGGGTACGAGCAGCGTAAAATATGTTTTTGCCATCATTGTGCTTCACAAAGTTTGCATAGATCTCGTCGATTTCTGCCTCAAGCTGATCCTGGTAGCGCCGACAGAACTCCTCCCCTCCCATCTTCTTCACAGAGCAGAAATGCTTGACAGCTGACTCTTTGAAATCCTGGTGCTTCCGCTCAAGATCCGATGGGGCAATGTAAGGCTTATCTCCTCCACAAATCTGCAGGAACAATCAGGTGGCGTCAACACAGCATCTTGTCCTGTACAGACAGCAAACCTGCTCCTTGCTGCTTACCCTTCAAACCACTATCAGACTGACTCCTGCAATTTTCCTCTGTAAGGTCTGGAGTGCCATCCCAAGGGAAGCAGCTAAAAGTACTCTGCATCATGGACCTGCAAATGCCTAAACTGCCTGACTGTATACAAAGCCATAGCACATGACAGGACTAATACTTTCTGTATTCTCCTTCAGGTAAGCCCATAAGGAGAGGACATCAACTCCACCGTAATTTCCTGCTACGAAGAGGGAAAAAGCAAAGAACATCCAGAGGCAGAGAAAGCTTGGCTAGAGAAAGGTTAAATAGCACTCTTACGCCCTCCCCTCAGCTTTTTAGTTCAGACCACCCACCCCAATGAGAAGATCAGCAACGAATCTAGACAAGCAGGGCAGATTTGGCCCACTCAGTAACTCGTTGGTTATTGTTGCCACTCACAGGCTCCAGGGAACTCACCAGGTGATGCAAATTAACAAAAACTAGCTGCTGACAGCATCTTTAGCCTGTTCTTTCCTAGACTGCCCTCTAGGACAGTTGATTCAGTTCAACCTGAGAGAACAAGTTTCTGCTGAAGGGAAGAGAGCAGGGACTCAGATGGATACCTGCATTAAGGACACCCATCATCTTCCTCCCCCTAAATAAGCACAAGTACAAAAATGGTTACGCTCTTAAGGACTAATCTGTAAAACTGTCGTGTGACCACGAGGGCTACAGTCAGAGAGTCCCTAGAACACAGATCCAAACTGCTCACATTTCAGTCCTGACTCCTTGAGTCCCTCACAGTCAGACTACGCCTGAAGATTCTTTCCATGTGACCTTAAACTACAGCCTTCATCCTGTGACACAGGCAGACTTATCACAGTGCTCATCATCTCATTCTTCAAACACAACCTTAACTTTCTCCTGCTGCTGTTCCTCCAGCTGGACACAGAAAGATCACTTTCTCAGAGTACAGCACATCCTTTCTGCCTCACAAGATGTACATCTTCACTGGCTAGCTTTTTCAAAGCAAATCTCACTGTTAAAATCCTGACACCATCACCCCACCTGCTTGAGTTGAATAAGCACCTTCCTGCTTTTTCTTTTTTACAGTTCTCCATAGCTAGAAAGCTCTCTGGAAAACAGCTACTAATCTCTCATTTTCCAGAACAGTCTTTCCACATTCCCCAGAGTACTGTAATAAGAGGAGATCCTTATGCATCAAAACCATGGCTTGCCATGCAGATACTGCCACTGTTCTCTTACGCTGTGTGCCTGCACTTGTTTTTCCTTACATTTAAGATCATTAAGAGAGAGTGTTTACGCATACTCAGAAAGAGGGTTTTGGCTCACGAGGAGAGCTCAAGGCACTATGGTAAGAAATATCCATACATAACCCAGCCTTAAGCCTCGTTCCTGAAAAAAGAAGTTTCAAAGCTGTGTCACATTACGAGCATTTGGGACTTCTGGATAAGAACTGATTTAAGATATTTGTGTTTCATCTCTACAGCAATATAAAAATATACAATACTGAGGGAAATTACTATGGAAACATGAGTCTGTTTAGGAGAACATTTGTTTCTGTTTATTCCTTGCTCCAAGTAAGGAAGTCCTACAACTATGGTATCTTAGTAGCCAATAAAAAGTCAAGACAGGAAAACAGACTGGGCTTTTTTTTCTTCCCTTCAAATACACAACAAGTTATTTCAAGAGATATCCAAAAATGGAAACAAATGAAGGAGTCCCTCTACATCAGCATTCTCAGCTCAGCCTGCTAACAGCTGAAACTGCCTAGCCTGCCACTAACACTAGGTCTTATTCTAACTTCAAAACAGAAAGCTATTTCAGTGATTAAGAGCAGAATTTGCCCGCTTAGTGGGGAGCTGTGTTTGTAGCATGTTATCACCCCCACTGGTCCCCTCCCCAATATAAAGTTTCACAATAAGCATAGTCTCGTTAAACTTTCAGACATGCAACTGCTTTCAGAATTGGCTGTGATAAAAACCTTGTGTAACACTATGAAATCCATCTATATAAGTTACTAACTTAAAGAGAAAAAGCAAGTAGGAAATGGCATACATAGTTTTGGTATTACAAAGGTTTGCTTCAAAGGATTTTAATCCACATATTTGACAGCTAATAGACAATTGCTACTCAAAACTGTGAAACCATACTAGAACTCTACCCTCAGATGCCCTGACACCACATCTCCTCACTTACCTGTCTATTTCATGTTACAAGATCTTTAAGATGTGTCAGGAGCAGCAGCAGGAATCCACAGGTGGTTTCTTACGAACTCCCATTCCCACACTGCCCCACCAAATCCTATCTCAAAGAAACCCAGATGCACTACATCAGACACCCATCCTGGCTGCCTAAGCTATTTTTTCCCCCATTAACACACTCCTGACCTACACCAACCACTAAAACAGAAAACCCGTATTTACATTCAGTTAGAAAAAGTTTTGTTACCATACCTGCTCCATGCCTTTACTGTACAAGTCTTTTGCTCCTGCCACAGCAGCAAGATTATTTGCCTCAGCTGTTGCCTAGAAAACATTGAGAACCACTTATCACTATAGTGCTACCAGCTAGTTTTACACAAGTATCTGCACTGTCCAACATATTCCAGCAACCACCACCAAACATAAAGACTGCCAAGAAAATGCCCCACACAAACAAGTGAAGGTTGGAGATATACATTAAGATACATTACGGACCAGGAGAAAGGTTTTTTCAGCTAACACAACTCTGAACAAACTCCCATGTGCTTGTACAGCTTGTTACTGTGAGCAACCTCTTCTGAGTGTTCTACTGTTAAAAAGCAAATAAGGATCTCTGAACTACTGAACATTAATCCTGACACATCGCTGTCTGTGAGGAAAGCTGCAAGCTGGTATTAATTCTGCACTATGTGCAGTTTTGGTGTCAGTCTGTAAGGACTTATACTACTTTCAAACTGTGCCACATCAGGGACAGTTATTCTGGCTCATACTGCAAGATGTCATCATCTCTACCTCTCAGCCACATTTACAGCATGTTAATTAGAGGACATGGTAACCACCTCTTTCATTGTGAAAAGTTCTCTCAATCACCCACTCTCCCCAGAAGTCTCAAAAATTGTTTCCTCAACTATTCTGGGTATTGACTTGCCCTCCATGTTTTAATGAAGTGACACTAAAAGCTTAATTTTAACCATTTGATGTGGGTAATATTTTAACTGGCTCTAGAGTCTGTACTCAGAAGAAAACTATCACAAAAATCTGAGTGTTCATCACATAGCTTTATACAGTCACTATTTCTAATTACTTTATAGCTGATTACACCCTCTTTGGATCAACACAGAAAGGAAAGTTCAGTGTAGTTACCTGATCTTTGTTGCACATGTTTGTTTGTTAGGAGCCCAACACTGTGAGACAGTAGTATTAGCTGCACTACTATAATCTTTCTCCATTTTGTCTACTAAGGCTGATACTAAAAGCCCTCTGAATACTGTCTGAAAGACACTGACAGAAGAGCAAGTTATTAAAGGAAACTTATGCCTGAAATTGAAGCAGGTAAAAAAAAAGAAACAATGCCCCCTGCTTCATTTGCTTTCAAAGCACACAGTTCCTTCAAGAATTACAAGTGTGTGTGTGGAAGCTTCACATTCCCAAGGGTCGTGACCAGGACTTATGAAATACACATCTACTATCAAAATACCTGCAGCATAGACTTTGGATGAGGTAGCTCCTCTCCTTGATAGATTTTAATGTAAGCCTAGAATCAAAAAGAAAAGGTTTCTTACTTCTTAAGCATATATGGGTAAGAAGGAAAGAGAAGGCATTACACAGAGACAAAGCTCATGAATTATTACTTTGCCATAATGACAAATACTCACACAAGTTTCTCCATACATAAATATCTGTCACTTGCCCATTTATCCCTAGTGCTTTAACCCCTTTACATTTCAGAAGCCTAACATGAAGCTCCCATAATCTCCAGTTAAAACAAACCGAAGCAGTACTTGCTTTTAACAGAGCATTTCAAGTAACATGCTTTTACTGGTATTAAAAATAAGCTGTTCATCTCCACCAAAATGGTTCTCTTTCAATAGCCACTGGCAGGCTTTCTTAACATGCAAGCACCAATAAACTATGCAGTTTGGCTTGTACTTTTTTTTTTTTTTTTAACTCTCTTTGGTAGCTATTACTTTGATAGCTATTTCCTTCAACTAAAACTCCTCAGTTTTCCAACTCAGAGTTCACAATTTCAGCTTTAGATCCAGACCAGGGAATGCTTTTTCCTGCACAACTGTTCCCAGGTTGGCTACTGCAACATGAATTAGACTGCTTTTCAATAGCCAAACAGTTTTATGATGCACTCCTTTTTGAACTGCCACTGAATATGTACTCCCTGCACCCTATGAGATCAAGCCTCACTAAAGAAGAAAACAGAGCAAGCTATATACAACCATGTGAACACCAAGAGACAGCACACCAGCTTCAGAGCAGATTTTATGCTTGTCAAAGCAGCCATGAGTACTGCATCCCACATCATACCTTCCACAAAGCATCTTCTTCTAAGCATACATAAAACAACATCTACGTGTTAGAGTTCTGGTCTCAGATTCCACTCCACGTCAGTACTTCCATAACACCAGCTGACTTGCCATCAACACATGTTCAAAAGTAGTAATGTAAAATTCAAGTCATTAGGGATGCAGCTTTCCCATATGAAGCCAGCTAAGTCCTTTCAATTCAAAAAGAGCTATAAACCAGACCAATTCCTGGTGACGTTGGAATCATGCTACCATGTTACTCCTGATGTCATCATGATATCAGAACAGCTCAAGAGTTTAACAGCTGCAAGTACCCACAAATTTTATAGTGCACAATGGTGTAACACATGAAGATGCTTTCCTGCACTCACGTTGCATATTACAAATTTGGAGGGATAGAAAATAAGATGAGTTTTACTGCACACCTAGAAGCTTAGGAGCTGGATTTCTACCTGTCAGTGAGAGCTTTAAAGAAAACCAAAAAACAAAACACCCACCCACATAAATCCAGACAAACTAGATTCTCAAAATAGTAAAAACAAAGAAAAAAAATCTCTATCTGATAGAACTTGAAGTATTTTAGCTTATTACAAAAAAAAAAAAATTGCTAACAGCAGATTGCAAAGGGCTATTGTGTTAAGCTGTGTGCCAGTTCTGGAAAGTCAGATAATGAAAGTAAAACTGAGATGATCAGTGGATGTCAGCCTAGATACCTTTATCTTCTCTGGGAACAAGATATCCTAAAATTAGAATATTTTCTTTCAAGCCATTAACAAAAATAATTAGCATGAGTTTGCTTACCTTGAAGTATTCTACAAGATCTCTACAGGTCACCTTGGATCCACTAATCTCTTTTTCTACCAAGTTCTCAGGGGCAAGCAGTAATGGTACCAAATTCCGCAGCTCTTTCTTAAAATCCTCATCTATATCTGGGAAAAATTTAGTTTCAGAAAACAATCATTAGTTCTCTTTTCAATCTTATATTTCCTAAAGGAACACTGATAACCCATAACCCTTAACCCTTCAAAATAGCAACACAACTGCATTTTATTTTATTTTATTTTTTTTTTTAACTTTTCAAGTCTTAAATACATGCTACGCCTCCATTAAGTTCTATTTTCTCCTGAAAGCTTGAATTCAAACAGAAAACTGAGTCCTGTAGACCTTGTAACATTCAAAGTACATTTCCCAATTGCACCAGTCTCTTACACAACCTATAGGTTGTTTGTGCCTTCAGCACAGAACTAGCCAGCATCCCACTATTGCACAGTCATATTTTTAGCCTTTGCCACTCTAATACATTCTCTCTACTGGGAGAAGCACAATAATGAGGAAATCCTAGCTGCCTCCCATTCCACAGTGGCAAAATCCTACAGCTATTTTACAGTCATTCCAGTTAGACCTTTTCATTTAGCGAGTTCTTAAAGAAAAGCCTTTCAATATTAAGAAAAGTCTTTTAATTTTACAAATGCTCATGTCTGCAATTTTTTTTTCTTTTTAGAATCCTATTTAATGACCTTTAGGTATGTCTCACACTAATTGACACTACAGTCAACACCTAGATGCAAAGAAAGATATCCATCCCCTTTGAATTGATAAGAACACACAATACATGTTTCTAGATACCATCATTTCACCTTTTAGCCCCATATTTTTTCAATAAAACATTTCAATGGCCAACTATATCAGTGTTTAACTTTCATGACAAAATTAATTCAGTGATCTGAATAAAGAACACACAATAGAGATTTTCTTACCATTTAATCTCCCATCAAAATTTGGATTTGTTGCAACTTTAAGACCAGGGTGGGGCAACAGGAAACAGCCAAGGTTACTGAAACAGGAGTGAATATGCTTCCTTACATTCTGCAGCTCTTCATGTTGGTTTTGCTTCACCTGAAGAAAAAAAGCATTAAGAACTGCTGACAGTTTTGCAGCACTGCAAGAAAGACTGAGCATCAGTTTAAAAGCAGTAAGAGCACAAGACTGTATTTAAGCTTTCATTCTTGAACCTAGAAATGTAGAGTTCCAAATCCCAGAACTCTATACAAGTGGAAAAGCACAAAGAGTGAGGTCATTATGCATCACTATCTTGACAGTGAGGCATCACTTATGCCAGACCATGATACTAGGACTACTGTAAATAATTTACCTGCAATCTTTTCTCCAGGAACTTTTTTCCTCCTTCCAAGCCATATGCATGCTCATAAGGGTAACTCCAATCTCTAATTAAGAACATTAGTGTCTATAACAGGAAGAACAACAGTGGTTAATGGTTTGTATCATTCCCAAAGTCGAGAACTATGACACATGATTATTTTAAGATTGAAAAGTCTAAAACTGGGCTACTGTGAATGAATGAGCCTTATAGCTTTGTGGTGTAAGTAGCAGCTCATTTAAAAGACACCACACACCATCACACAAGCAACTGTGACTGATTTCTTATCTGAAAAGTAGTATTTCAGCATCTCAAAAAAGACAGCTTCTCTTTTCCATGGGTTTACTTTTTGCTACCTCTGAGGGATTACATGGTCCATCCTCCTATTTATTAGCTGAAGATATAGAACTAACCTTGATGTTAGCCTTACATTAGATGAGGTGCTTTTAAAGGCTCCATCTTACCTGCGCCAACACAAGAGCACAAAGGACTCACACAAATATTCTAGAACAAGACACAAGTTGTAAAAACTTGCCACTAGTACCTTTAAATGTTCAGAAGGATCATTTGATAATTCAGATTGAAAGGAATCTCAGACTTTGTGTCCACTAAACGTAAGAAGCCTCAAACCTTTCTCCAGATTAGCCAATAGAGAGAGGAAGTTAGCAATCTAGAGAACTCAAACACTAACATCACTGATGCTTCAAGTAAATGAAACACAGTATGGCCCTGAACAGTATTTCAAAGCTATATGACCTATACTCACAAACACACAGCAAAGACCAACCACAACTCAAGTAGCAATGATTAGGAAGGAAAAAATGAAACTTTTCTCCTTAATGTCAGCACAAGACTTGACTTTCATACCTCCTTAATGCTTAAGCTCATCTTGTAAAGATGAGACTAGCTTGAGGCAAACTAATTTATCTTCATACATTATCCTGAGCTCATTTTCTACACATTCAATTGCTTACAACACATTTAACATGTATACTTACTTGAAACGGCTTTTGGTAAATTTCTTCCATTGCTAGTCTTCCATATTCTGTAAACAACTAATAGAAAGAGTGTAAGAGTGCCACACATAAAACACTTTTCCACTGTAACAACTCACTATGTCACATTACATCACTAATAAATAAAGCATTCAATCTTAAACCCCATTATGGTTTAAAATGGCCAACGCAGCTCAAGAACAAGCACATCAATCTTCTGTAAAACTCAGGAAGGAAATAATTTCCACTGGATTCACAGTGCCACACCAGAATTGTCATGGCACTGCAGCTCAAAATGGGCAGCCTGCAGGCTTTTCTCAGATGAAAGCTGAGCAGGTCTCCAGCCAGCTTCCAACACTTGTCTGCAAGGCTAAGGAGGTAAGCCTGCCTAACACTTGTCCCTTACTTACACTAAAGATCTATTCCTCAGAATTTCAAGGAAGTTGCCTAGACCCAAAGTAGCAGACATTCAAAGTCAAGCAGCTTCCCAGATCTCTACTTCAGCCTGCAATCTCATAATTTTTCTTACTCTTCAGCATAAAATGAAGTGCTAACTTAACTGTCTTCCTCTGGTTACTTTCACCATCTTTCATGCTAAAAGCAGCATTCTTCCTCTCCATGTTAAGCGGGCCAGCAAACTCATGAGAACACAAGTAAAAGATGAAGGAGGCATGCCAGTACCCTCTATAATCAGGCAATTGTTCCTCTGCATTAAAGCTAATCTCTCCGACACTTCAGGAAAAAAAAAAAAAAAATCCTATGTGGACAGTTTTCCCTTTGTTTGTCAGAAGAACATCTGAGAACTTACGAGACAGACTTAATACAAGTGAACTTCTAAGTCCCTGTCATCCTGAGCATAAAGCTTTGAAGAGGCCAAGCATCCATGTGAGAATGGCTTGTTTCTCTGACCCTGACTGCCCACTGCACTCACCTCCCTGCTACGTGAAAGAGACAGAGTGAGAGTATTTCAGACTAGCACATTTTCTTCTCTCAGCCCATGACTCCTTGTCCCCATCTTTACTGGGTAGGGAATGCCTGTGCATTTGCTTCTTTTTAATTGCACTTCCCTCAAATCTCACTATTCACTATAACATAGAGATTTATCTATTCTGACTACACTGAGGTTGCCAAAGGTTATTAAAAGTTATTTGTAAATTATTTAAAAGCCAGACTTTCCTGACCCTTTCTGTTTGCTTGGAAATGTTTTGGGTTTTTTTATGGGGTTTGTTTTGTGGACTCTGGAGTTTTTGGTTGCTTTTCTTTCCTTTGGCATACCACTCTTAACTGAGAACAGAATCAGAAGATTATGTTCAGTTAATTCACTTCTACTCCCAGCACTGGCAGCCAGCATTCCGCAGCACTGAACAAGACAGAAGTCCTTTCAATCAGACGATATATAAATAATCAAGCTGCGACAAGGTCACGACCTGAGCACAGGCAGACATAAGTTGATACAAAACTGCTTTTGAAGCTACAGGTTTTAAGTTAAGGAGATAAAGCTCTTGTACCATTCACATGAAGCCACAATTCAGTAACATTTGACTACAACATCCCATTAGAGGATGAAAATCTCACAGTAGAAAGTGGACAACTCTTATGATTTTTGTTTCCAGACTGAATCGGACTCTCTAGAAGTTTCTCAGCTGAAAAACTAGAAAAGGTTTCCAGGCAGCAGATGCTCTTTCTTCTCCAAGTCACGTTCCCAAATTTCAGTAGAAACCAGTTATGAAACACTGTCAGTTTTCTAATTTTAGGGAAAAAAGAAGAAATATTGGAAACTTCTCATTAAGTGCTCTCAGGAATTACTTCCCATTCTAATCCTTTCTGGAATTTTGGCACTTCCTGTATAGAGAACAGACTTTACCAAATGAGAAGTTTATGCTATATTACTTCTATGCTGTCAAAAAGGAAACATCACAGCATCATGGAGTTGATGCAAATAATGTTTTTATAGGCAGCATTAGTTTTAGCATCAGGTCAGACTCAGTGCTTGCACTAAGGACAAAGCAGCTACCAAATCACAGTTCTATCAGTAGGAAATTCAAGAACAATTTCAAGATTGTCAGCTCAGACGTAGCTTAACATAAGTTCTGTATATTCTTACCTGCAAATGTTGAAGGTCATCTTCCTGAATATTCTGGGACAAGTTGTATACCTAGAAGGAACAGTAAAGAAATTAAAACATGACTTGAAACCATTATCTTTTATGTAGGCTCCTTTAGACCTCTTGAGTATTTTCACCACCTCCAGAAACATCCAACCACCTGAAAGCCAGTGTCTAAAAACCAGCCAAAGCAAACACTTCAAGAGAAGTCACTACCTTGACCTAGAGGTAATGACAAAAAAAAAAAAAAAAAAAAAAAAAAACCCACTGCTGACTACCCTAATCCTTCTTAGAACATCCTCTTTCCAAGGAAAGAAGTGATAAAGAAATCTAGGAAGAATGCTGGAATGCTTCTAATTACAGCACAGTGGTGAGAGGGAAGGACTAAGATGGGCATGTCCATCTGCTGTTCTCAAGTTTAAGTGCTCCTGTGGCATCATCTCTATTTTAAAAACAGCTGGGCAGATGGTTCACCAGCCCTGTTTGCTCTCAAATCTTTCCAGAGAAATCTGACTTTCTCTGGGGAGCACATAATTGCTCCAATGACATCAATACTGAAGAGCACTTAGCTCAAGGATGCATCAGTGATCCATACCTTATCCTAACAATAGGAAGAAAGGGGTGGAGGTCAGAAGCAGGGTTCTACATCCTCCTGTTACATTGATGTTTTTAGTATCAGTAGCTGTACCTTTAAGAGACTGCAGTGTAATTTCACCCTAAGCTGTATTATCTAAAGTCTTAAAGGTTCCTTACTGTATCAGTACAGGAGTGGTTGTTACTATGACATTTTTGTTTGGGATTTACCAGTTCACTCAGCAATTTAACCCAGCCTGGTCTTGGATATCTTTCTGGAATCAAGGTTATCTACACAATACTGCAAATGGACCATTAAATATGAAAGCATACATAATTACTGGAGGAAAAAGTGCAGGTGAACTTCCTAAGCATAGCTAAAGAGAAAGTGCAGACTTGGGCAAGAGGGTTCCTATAGCTGCCATTATTTGTCAGCACAAGTATTCTCACCTGGACAGAACTTGTCATGGTGCTCAGGGCAAAAACCGTTGCACAGTCTTTGATAGTGGATTGGCTATCAAAGGCACCTTGGGTATCCATGAGTAGTACAGCAACCTAGAGATTTTTGAAGAGCAGCAACAGTTAACCAAGTTGTTACAGTTTCAAACTCCAGGCCATTGGGGTAAATTCTGTTTACAGTACAGTATTCTTTCTGCTTCCACACCTGCTTATTAAAGCCTCAACTAGTTTCCTGTACGAACATTTATATATACCTACAGATTAGCAAGCAGCAACTACACAAACGCATCAGCCTTAAGTCCTTGGTATTGCTATGCTGTTCATCCTCTCCCACAGAAATAACATCCCACAGCCCAGTTAACAAAAAGGTGGCTCTTAAATCACTGTAAAAATATCGGTCTCAGCTTTGATAAGCTGTACTGCATTGTCAACTAAGTATGAGATGGTCCCTTTAAAAGACAGATGTCTTAAACTAATTATTTTCAAAAGAAAGCTAGACAAATGGCACATCTACTGAAGCGACATGGAAATGAAGTGGTCTTAATGATAAGAATTAATCTGCCCAAAACCCATCCTTGGGATCTAGTTGGGATCCTTTTTTCTTTCAGTTGCAGACAACAAATAAGCAATAACAAATAAGTTTGTTGCTTTTTTTTTTTTTTTTTTTTTTTTTTCCAGAGCACCAACAGATCCTCATAACTCAACTGCTTTCCAGTCAGAGAACTGCTTGGTTCACTCTAAAACATGGTAAAATCAGCTTCCCATACTAATTCATCATCAGATGTTCTCACTGCACTGCAGCAATATAAGGACTATGGAAGTTAAATAAGAGTTTACAGTTCAGGAGAACAGTTAAGAAAACAGTGCTGATGTTAGGGAGTAAATACTTACTGACAACACTGAGACTGTTTCAGCATGAAAATAAACATCTGAAATCAAACTCTGTAGTTACAGCAATTTAGAGTTCAAAGGTGCACCAGTTTTGATAAGTATAGTTAGTATATAAAGTATTTCCCACAAGTAGACGTGCTTTGTTTTTACGAGCCAGCTGCTGAACTATGCAGAACAACCATCTTCTGGCCACTGAAGCTGCATTTCTAGTGCCTACAGCTACGTGTTATATGTCACCAGAACAGTTACAAGCCAGAACTCATCTCAACTCCAAAAGCAGTATTTGTTAGAGCTGTTCTTATCACAGCATTTGTCTGTACACTGTATTTATAACCAACATAGTTTTAGAACATTCACAGGATAACCCACCCATTGGCCTGGACAAAACAGACTTCGCCAAAGTAATTTTAAAATGGACTATTGTTGGAGATTGAATACCAGCAGGAAAACACACACCTGCACTGATAGAAGGTTTCCAAATGCGTTACATAGCCAGTGAATAGAAAGGAACCAACTGATGTTTGAATTGCCCCCACAAAACCCATGGCATTAAAACTCTTCACCCAGAGGCCAAAGCTCACTAAATACAACTGTTTAAATCAAGCACTTACCTTTGTTCCATTGGGTTTATCAATTACAAACACTTCACTCCAGATCTGGATGCCAGTGGTTTCCCGTTCACATCCACCTCTCCATGTAAACCCAGTCAAAGGCTCAGTGTTTCCACCTATCCAGCAAGGAGAAGTCTATAAAACAAGAAGAAAATCTTATTTAACACCAAGAAAGGTTTTTTTTTCTTATTCCAAGTATGTTTTAGCAGACTTTCATATCGCTCTTTCATTTTTGTCAAAGCTGAATAGCAACATTACACTAAGAATTAAGAACCACAATGCTCTCAACTGTACATTGTAGATGATAAAAAAGTTTTGTGGTCTACTGCATTTCAGCAGTTGCCCAGATCTTTATCCACTGAAGAGTGTACATGCGTAACTTTCAAGTCTCAAGCGCTCAGAGTCAGCATGAGAACAGCTCAGTTTCATCCATCAATTCCACTTTGCCTACTCTTCCTCTCCAAAACACAGTTGTAAACACCATATATTGTAACTTCAGAAACAGCTGAACCTCTGTGAGAAACAGAGAATTAATTTCAACTTGATCCTCCCCCTTCTCCGCTGCAAACTGGTCAACTGCTGAAATTAAATAAGCATCTAAACCCCTGCACTAACAGAGGCAGAAGTCAAGAATCCCACTGCTGCTTGCAGAAGCCAAAAAGAAAGCACAAGGATTAGAGGATTCCTATACATCAGTCACAGAAAGTACTTTTCCCAAGTGATTAGTATTCACCTTACAAGGTAAAACTGAGAGCCTGACATGTACCAATCAACACATGCATGTTACAAGCTCACAGGCCAAGTCTTCTGTGTTGGGAAAAGCTGCTGGGCAGTCAAATACAGACTGAAGCTAAGGTCTGGCTGCTGGTATGGTAGCAAGATCTTCAGTCCTCAAGGACTGGCAATGAATGGAGCACTGGCTCACATAGAGGATTCCAGACACAATGTGAACAGATTTAGCCCACAAAAGCAGCTTACATGCTGGGGAAGTAAGGAAACATGAACAGGCACTCTAAGGAACTTTAACTGTGATAGGTTACACACACTGAAATCCTGGAAAAGCAGGAAGCAAATTTTTAAGTGAAGAGGAAGCTTAGGGAAAAGCCTTTATAACACAGAAACAGATTTTCAATGAATTTGCCTCTGAGCACCCAGAGAATATCAATAACAACATAAGTGTGCTCATAATGGAGGTCAAAGGGGCATCTCCTCCACTCACTAAGCTACAGCCTAACTTGCTAACTCCACATCACATCTTTTCAGAATAGCTCACGACAGACTTCTTCACATCTCAGAGAACATCAATGATATGCTGCACATACAGAAATATTTGCTGTGGATAAATAAAACTGCTTATTTCAAAAGAAGGAGGAGAAAAAAAGTATGCTTCATACACACTACTGTCACCTTCTGCAGAGAAAACCCATGTGCTAAAAGGAGAAGTCAATTAAGCAATTCTGCATCAGCATCCTCCCAAGCTAAGTGCACACCATTCATCTTTGCTACTTGGATCATACATGGCAAAAGCAAATTAAATGAGCAGATTAAAAAAAAATACAGAAGACGTATTCACTTAAGGGAAGCAAACTACTGCTCTTTACAGGTATTTTTGTCATTGTCTTTAACACACATATACCTACAACCAATGAGAAGAAGAGTAACACAAAAATATTCCCTGGAAGCTTTGTTCTTTTTGAGGTTTTGTTTGTACCCCACAACTGCACACCCACTGACCATTGCAGAAATCAGAGCTCCAAGCTCGCTTTGGGACTCAGCACACCCCAGACAGAACTCTGCAATGCTGAATCAGATCTCACAGACGTACTGTAGCTGACTGTAACTTTGCACTTTTTTCAAAAGCAGCTGTTACGTTATTCAGCAATATAATCCGTTACTCAAGAGGAAGAATACTTTTTCCCAATTTAGTCCAGACATATATTGCCCTATGCACAGAAACTCAGACCAAAACTACCCGAAGTTTTGACAAGTATTTCAGTGAGAACTGCATAAAATCACTTTTTACTTCATGTGATTCATGCAACGGGAGACATTAGTGCCTTAATAAGCAGAAGTTCAGCTCAAGCTGCTTCGTCCTGTAGGCGATGCAGACAAAGCCCGGGTCTGACTCTGAGCTTTGCATTACTTTGAAGCATTCCTAGCTTGGATCTCCTTTCCAGGGAACAACGTTTTAACAACTTTCATCCACTAAGATGGCTTTTGGAAGGCTTTGCTCCTACAGGAAATCAAACTGTAAGAAGCACCATAATACTGTATTAGTGTCTCTAAATGTATTTCATATCAAAGAAAGGTCCAATGCAGCTTTATTTCGTTAGTGCCATCAACATGAGGTGCATCTTCCAGATTTATACAAGCTATGGTCACACCTCTAAATAATAAAAGCTTTCCCATTTAAATTTACTACTGTTACTGCACCCAATTCTTTATAAAGCTCATTATGCAGAGATCACAGGATCACTGCAGCAGCTTTATTGAACACATACTGCTGCTATTCAGTAGCTGCTCCTGTTCCATTTCAAATAAGCAATGATAACGTTAATTATCAGTGCTTGAAATGAGATGCCCATTCTCCCTGAAGTCAGCAACCAGTTTCAGACTTGTAAAACTTCTACGTTTGACTTCAGCAGCACAAGTTAGATTTTTAGAATGGCAACTTCTCACATGACTCTTAGCTCTTGGTCTTAGATAAGAAAATGGGATGTCACTGTTATTTTGGCAAGGTTTTCATGTACTTTAAGTGGAACAGAATATCCCAGGATTGCTTGATTAGCGTATGAATTGAACATGGATGCACTGGTATTTTGTGCAAAGGCCAACATTCAGTTCACAGTAAATATAGACTGTAATAAAGTTAGAGAGATCAGACTTAAAAGTATTATAAAGCCCCACCAAAGCTCCACCTCCCCTCCTGTACCAAAATTTGTGTAAGCATAGATGACACCACCTGACATAAAATTCAGCAGGCTCAGAAGTAGAGGCACTGCACTTATCTTTCCTCATCCCCAGTTTCTATTATTCAAGTTTGAAGCTGCTCTTATGCTTGTCATACTCCTCCCCAAAGCCAGTTTACGTCACTGGCAGGAAACAATTCAGCAAAGTGCAGCATCTTCTGAAGCATCCATGAGCACAATCAGCTCAGCTAAGGGCCTGCGAGCATTACAGCTTGTGAACACAAATGCCTGGCCAGAAGCATCGCATGGAGAGCAAAACCTCCTCTTTTTAGGGAAGAGATAGCTGTAACACCAAATGGCTGAGCTTGTCAGCAAATGGTATTTGAAGGACACCTATAGAAAACTGAAAAAAGTGTTTGTATAGTACAGTGAACAGAGAACATCACTACGCAAGACTGAAAATGTTCCAATACATTTTGCTCTCTGCACTTTTATTTTGCAATCTGAAAGTTACAGTATTTGCTTGAAGAGCAAACCTATTTTGGGGATAACCTATTTTTGTCTCCACTTAGTGCCCATTTAGCTCAGAGGGCTGTATTTCTTGGGAGTTTTGTTGCTGATTGTTTTTGGGGGGAGGGGGTTGGTATTATTATAAACATGACACTACAGAAGGTTTATATACATGAAGAGCCACCCACTGAACAGCCATATCAATGAAATGTTTATTTCTCTGTAGCCTAAAAGAGTCTTAAGAAGTTGCGAGTGCCAACTTACTATTTAGTATTCCTTCTACTACACCCTTAGTGAGTGTCTTATGGAACTTTTGGCAGATCAGTGCGGAGAATTCAATAGCAGGCATTACTTGGAGTGAGGGAAAGAAAGTCTTCATCTGCCAGCTACCAGCAGCTTCTTTACAATATTCCCACATTTCCTGAAAAAGCAGGGGTCGCTTGATTTCTCCTCAAGCCAGCTAGCACAAAGGCAAGTTTCCACTACCGTGAATTCCAACTCCAAGAAGTGACCAAAAAGGAATTTGTTCTTGTTCTGTCACTGAAGACTTTCAAAAAGCAGCAAAGTACTGAACTGTTAATATTCACTGTAGAAAGAAACACATCACAACCTATGACAGGCAGATGAATACATTCACAGGAGGCCCTATGCCACCTTCTGTATCAGCCAAAAATTCAAAACATAGTAGACAAGCCAAAAGCTACAAAGTAGAGGAATTAAACTTCAGATCAGGCATTAACTAATCAATGACTGAAAAGTACCTAAAAAAGTTCCTGGATTATGTTCAGGGACACATTCCTGTTTGCCACATCTCAGTAAGCAGATTTAACCCTCCAATAGCTATCTGCTAAGATTCTTTTTGCAGCAATGGATAAAGACAGTGGCACAACATGACTGTAGGAGACCAAGTCGAAGGAATATTCTTCCAAGCCACTATCTGGATAAGACCTTCTGCAAACCTCAACTAGAAGGCCACTGTGATCACCTGACTCAAGATCTTCTCAAGTCCACTTACATCAGGACCCCAATAATTCAAGCGATAACTATAGCAACTACATATTGGACAACCATCACCTTAAATACACTTCTTTACAGAGTCATAGCACACAGCAGCTGGCTTCCCTTCTTCCTCTGTAAGAAATTTTACCTGCTATATTTGTACTCAAGTCAACAAATACAAAAGTAAACAACTGAAAGATCACTTTTTTGCTGCAGGGAAAAGGCCAAATTACTCACCCTGTTATACATGTATCTAAGCATGAAGTCCAGCAGAAAAGATTTTCCTTTGCGGAAAGCTCCTGCTACAGACACAACTACTATGTTAAGATCTTTGATGTGTTCCTGAAGCAAGATTTTTTCCAATGCTTCTTCATCTAACTCAAAGTTATGGTCATCTTCATGAGCGAGAACAATCTGTATGGGGCGTGGCTTATCCAAATCCACCTCGTCATCTGAATCTGGCATGACATCCGAGTCAGGTAGGGCATCCTCCTCTTCTTCCTCCTCATAATGCTTACCTGCAAATTGACAGGTTACACTGCATTAGTAAATCAGACCTTAAGACACCAGACATTTCTATGAAAATCCATGCTAGGCTCTCATTCCAGCAACAAGAGCAATGCTGTTGGGAATGCACATGTGCAGATGAGATCAACAGCTGCTGTCTGTACATTTTCATGAGTTTTGCACATCGTCTGCATTTCAGATTCCAGCATTCCACATGTTTTAAGAAGTCACAGAAGGAAACTGTTTTTCAGCACCAAGACCTATTTTCAAGGCATCTTATATGCAACTTGCATTAAAAATTGCAGGTTTCTTCTTTATCTAGGAAATATTAGTTAGTTTAACACAAGCTACAAAGAGGTAAAAAAAAAAAAAAGTTTAGGTAATCACCTTCTGCTGCTGTCAAAATGTTTTCAGTCCGTTTTGGTTACCAACATGTACAAGCAAGACCAAGATTACAACAGCAGATGATGAAATTCCTTTCTAATTCCAACACCTGCTTCAGTTCTCAAACACAGTAGAATGCCTGTTCATTGCCTTGAAAGAGGAAAAACCTCACACACATATGTAAGGAGTAACATCTTGGGGTCTAAAACAAAGCGAGAAACACCAAAACAGTTCCCACACTGTTTTTTCTGACACATTAAGCATGGTTCAATAACAGCAAGTACAAGTTGCTACAAAAAGAAAAAGTTAAAGAACATTGGGAGCTCATTTTATTCACACTAAGAATCAATAACCTTTGAGAGTCCATTCTTTCAGTAGCTGAAAGAAGGTCTGATTTAGTTACAGAACTCCATGTGCACAAAGCTGATTGAGGCATCTCCCCAGCAGTTACGTATGTGGGAACATCAGTGTATCAGCTTCACTGTGTTGGATGGCTTGTCATGCCTACATTCCCTAGCATGGCTTTTATCAGAGAGGAAGCAGCTGTATGTAGATTTGTTATTACCCAGCCCAGCGTTCCCTGTGGAAGCAGACCAGGAGCAGTATCACAAGGCACCACAGAACCCATGCAGCTGGACTCATACATGGCAGAGATCCTGCCAACATCCACAGGTTCAGCCAAGTCATTCCTGCCAGACTATGCATCTTAGATCCCATTCCCAGCAAAAGACTTTGAACAGTGCTCCAACACACTGTTTTGTTGATGTAACAAGACATTTGAATCATTACCACATACTTGAAAGCCTGGCAACACAGTGACCCTGGAGTTTTTCCAAAGGCTGCCTCTTTAGCCAGTTCTGACAGCACTTCACTTTACTGTAAATTAGAGTGGACAACTCCATTTTCAAGCATTGCACTTGTGTTGCTCCAAAGGTCAATGGCAGTAAATCTTTAAAAATGCACGTATGTATTGCTTTGAATATAATATAAAGCCAGTGTAGAACTTCAGGAGGAAAGAGTCTACCTATAAATACCTGGTGCCACAACCAAAATATTGGGGGTTTTTTGTCCATGGGGTGGCCTACGTGGATCTGGGCTTGCAGCCACCAGACACCTATGACCTTTCCCAAGGGGAAGAGAGTCCTTGGGGAAAAGCCAGTAGGGCTTCAAACTAGGTTCAGAAGGAGAGGGGAGCGATAGTTGAGTCTGCCCATGCGCAGATTGCCTGGACATGTGGTAGATTCTCCATCCCTGGAGACATTCAAGGTCAGGCTGGACAGGGACCTGAGCAACCTGATCAAGCTGTAGGTATCTCTTTTTGTTGCAGGGGAGTTGAATTCGATGACCTTTAAAGGTTTCTTCCAACTCAAATGATTATATGGTAATCTTGAGTGTTTAAATCCTAAGGAGCTAGAGTTAAGTTATCCAGCATTATCCAAGTGAGTGCACAAAACAGCTCCCAGCAGCACCCTAACCCAGTCTGGCTGACAAAGCAGGCCAAAACATTGAGCTGCACCCACAGGCCTGATAAACAGGAGTAGCTTTAAGATTAGCTATCAGTTGGACACCAAAGTACACTGACACAATACTGGTCACCATTTCAGAAGAAAAACTCCACCTTCCTCCTAAAGCTTTTTTCTTCTCAGAAGTTAAACACACACTCTTTTTTGAAAGAGTTTCACAAAACAGAATTGGCCCCATATAGCAAGCATTCTTTGTAGGTCAAAAAACATAGAAGATAGCCCTTGTCTTTTTGACAGAAAGAGAGAATAATTCTATGGATAAAAACATTAAGTAGGAAAAAGCAGCTTTCAAGTTCTAGCTTTTACATATCCCCTAGACAACATTTAACTCTGCTTCGTAAAAGCCTTATTCTTAAACCTGTTCCATTTCAACTGCAATAATGCTTCAGTTTTGTAAAGTAAAACAGACTGTGTTGTGTTTTTTATTATCAGGGCAGTGGGGCACCAGCACAGACTGCCCAGAGATGTGGTGGATGCCCCAACCCTGGAGACTTTCAAGGCAACGCTGGATCAGGCACTGGGCTATCTAATCTAGTAGTGCACGTCCCTTTCCATTGCAGGGGAGTTGGACTAGATTACCTTTAAAGGCCCCTTCCAATGCTAAGGATTCTGTGATTCTATAATATCAAGCAACATCTGCGATTTCTCTTCCCTGAACAGGAGTCAGACACTAACCACCTTTTCCTTCCTGGAAGTCAACAGACCCTTAGCAGATCTCAAAGCAAGAGCCTTAGCAACATTCTTCTGCCAATACATAGAGCAGCCACCCAAAGCCTCCTCAAGCCAAAACACTTTCCAGACAAACAAGTAGTATGATCTTTTATCATTAGTTTTTTTCTAAACAAACGTTCTCCCTATCACAAGTTGATAATGCTGTCAAGAGCTTGGAAGCGATAGGTCTGCTAAAGGTCCACAATAACTTGTTAATAGTCTTCTGCACCCTGCAGCTTAAATAACAGAGTATGGAAGTTTAATCTCTAGTCCTGTTCAATGTCCATTATATTTTACTTACCAACAGAGACTAGAAAGAAAAGTCCAGTGCATCAAGTCAGGAGGCAGAGTGGGTTGGTTTGGGATATTCTTTTGTTGGGTTGTTTAGTTTTTGTTGCTTTTTTCCCCCCCTCCTTTGGGGGAGGGAAGGGAAGGTCAGACTAGACAGCTTAATATATCTCCAAGTTCCCAAACTGCCTACAGAAAACACTATCATTGCCATGAATCAAGCACTTTGAGGGTGGAGAACTACAGTGTTGACAGCTGTGAAGGAAACTTGATCCATCCAGAAGAGCTGGTTTCATAAATCCACTCTCAGGTGGCACAGAATACCCTGCCTTTCAAGAGATTTTAAACCAGTTAACTGGACAGACATTGCAATGCTAAATATGGTAACTGTGGAACAAGTACTACTGTTCAGCCCAGCAACATAACCAACATACGCTAACCTGCCACTGGCTCCTAGGCAGATATCACAAGCTATCTGGCCTCTCGATATTACTTTCTGACTGCTTACCCTGTCACTTTGCTAGCTGCTGTCTCAGGTAGCACCGGAATACTCTGGAAGGCTTCCTTGGAGGCTTTGGAATCCTGGGCAGAAGGATCGCATTCCACTTCTAAGAACTACTTCCACAGCAGTGTCTCAAAACAATGATTAGAAGCCCCACTCCACAGTCAATTTTCATCAAAAGCTGCAGGAGCATTACAGTAAGCCTGCATGTAGTTCATAAAAGAAACGTGCTGAGCACTGTCAAGTCAAGCCAGGATTGACGAAGTGCAGAATACTCCTTACTGCTCTACTCATCATCAGTTGGGTGTTCTTGTTTTCTCTGGTTGGTTTGGTGCATTGTTTTTCCCCCCCCATTCCTCACCTATCCCAACACAGACATAGTGCACAAATACCAACTCAGAATTTACGTGTATTTGTCCTACACCTCATCTAAGGACCACACACTGCTCTAGGTTCTTCCAGTACTCCAACAATCCAAACATAAACAGTGGCTTTCCCAGAAAGGTCATCCCTGCACTGAAGTGTTTCTAGACAACTAGACAGTAGTTTGAATTCACCAAGCTCACGGCAACCTCTCTGTATAGGTCTCCATGACAGGGTATTCAGATTGCAGAAGAAGCAATCTAAGTAGTTGAATTCTGTTGCCTTGGGTGGATTTTTTGTTTGTTAGTTCTTGTTGTCAGCTCTTTTTTGTTTTGAAAAGCTTGACACTGTGGGAAAGTCCAGCTCCATTCCAGAAACGGGGTTATAGTCCCAGTGCACTCATTCACAAGCACTCGGAGAAGAGTTTTTTCAGAGGCATGGCATAAGGCTTGCCTCAATGTTGGAAATGCCCATGTGAATGGAAATGCCCACAGAACACTGGACCTAAGGCTTTCAGTACCTACAGAAAAGCCTCATCTGACAAAACATATGGCATTCACAGAGTTCATAGAGCAGTGATAACACGCCTAGAAAGCCACAGCTGAATTTTTTCAAGCAGTACATCCATCCTTCGAAGCTTCTGCACTATTAAACTAACGTACTTTGGTCTGTAGTCATATACTTTCTTCTGGAAGAAGCTGATGCAGAAAGATCACTGACTGGACTTGCCCTGAAGCCTGCCGTCCATTCAGCCCTATGACTACAGTAATTTGCTAATCACTCCCTACTCCATTTCAGCCCCTCACAGCCTGAATAATTCAGATTAAGAATTTGAGCTACTGCAATAGCTTCCTAAGCCAGATCAAACAGCCTAGGAGATGCAGGAGAAGCAATCACAAAAGTAGACAGACTTGGATGGAAGCAGATACAGCCACAGGAACCAACTTTGCCCAGCTTCCCCAGAAGTTCTGCACTCCGCTCAGCAACCACTACAGCAGGACTACTGACACAACAGCTAAGTATCCAAAACAAGCAACACTTGTTGAAATGCTAAGCCAGATTGTGAGAACAGTAGCTTCTTGTGTAGGTAAAGAGAATATTTCAATTGAACAAACTCAACTAAATAACCCATTTCTTAAAGTATGAAGTAAAATGAACAAAAGCTAATTCCTGCTTCCCCTAAGGGCACAGTGAGCAGCTGATGACCTATTTGTCCTCCAATGTAAGAACATGGGAACAA